CCTGATATTACCCTCTGGGAAACTAACAGTTTGCTACTGAAAATGGCCATTTATAGTCGATTTTCCCATTACAAATAGTGATTTTCATAGTTATGTTAGTTTACCAGAGGGTAGTTGGGTGAGTGATCATGGTCATACCGCTTTTCTATATGTCCCTTGTTGGTTACACTTGAAAGTCTGTGCACTTCACGCAAAAAACCGTGGTTTGCATGCTCAATTGAACAAATCGCTGTCAGACTGACATGCCAGTTTTGGCACTGGTTTCGCATGGTTTCGCATCCCGGATCGGATCCAAATGCTTCCTGAGAAGGTAGTGGCCCCCCCGAAATCATATCCCATATGTATCCATATGTCCCAACTTGACTTTAGTGAAGTAACTTCTGTAGATGATTTGCCTTTTCCACCTTTGGACGTATGATTTCCCCCATTTTCCTAGCTATATTACACCTTCACTAGGGGAGTTTCCCATATTTCCCTTGGGTTTTCCTATGTTTTCCTTGGATTTTCCCATTCAAAACCCTTCATTTCGCTGGGGTTGTCGGCAGGTGAGCTTGTCACTCAGACAGTGCCAACTCCGGTGGACGTCACTGTCGGGCGCCACGATATGGATGTTCTAAAATGGAGAAAAATCATGGGTATATTTAGAATGGTGGTTTTCACATGTTTTCACTATTCTTTGACCCCAAAAAAGGGGAGAATGATGAATCCCGTTGACGAGCATATTGTTCGGTTTTTCAACATGTTGAGACCACCAGCCAGCAACAGATCCGAAAAAAATGTTCCCCTGAGATGAACAGGATATGAAAGTTTCTATGATTTTTTCGCCCCAAATCTGAGTTGCTCCGACCTATTCTGTTGGTACATTTTCCATGTAGCCACGCCACAACGGGGTGGAAGTTCCGAAAATGGAGATTTGACCGAGGTGATTTGGGGCATCCGAAGTGCACGCTCTACACCGGTGCGCCTGCCCGCCAGGGTTATGTCTTTTGAAAGAAATTCATGTCCCAGTTGCCTGTAGCTAAATTGGTTTGGCAATGTAATATGGAGTGTTTATGGTATACCTAGACCCTCCAAATACCCCCCAAAAAATGGTCGAAGTGCTGAAATTGTGAGCTAAAACACAATTTCTATGGGTACTGGGAGGGTCTAGGTATAGAAATATCGAACTGGTTGACATGGGTCATAGACCAATTTACAACTGGGCGGCAGCATCTCCCACCAGTCAAGATGTGGATTTGAACATGGAAATTGGCGCTCTTGAGCACACAAACTTTGGCAAGATACTAGTAAACGTTGTGACTTGACATGGGGATTGTTTCATCAGCTGTTATTGGCAGGTACTGTAGTCAATATCAAAGTCCTGAAAATGCATTCACCAGAAAAGTCTGAAGCACTGATGGCCGGTTTTCTTCGTGGCCATTTTCGCGCCTTCCCAACATGACTTTTCAACACATATCAGATTCATGTCTATCAGATCCTGCTGAAAACCACCACAAATTTGTTTAGCCCAAAGTTTTGGTGTTTTTTTACCATCCTTGAAGCTACTTCCAGGATGTCCAGGTTCAAGATATGCTCCACGGAAAACGGATCCTGGCGGAAAGAATCGTTGACTATAGTTATATAATGTTATATAGTACATATAGCATGTGTTATATATATATATATATATACATACACATTAACAATTATCTATAAATGCTGCATATGCTGTGATTAATTATAGCTGAACTTATATTATATATATACGGTCACACCCCCCATGATCTACCTTTATATGGGAATTACCTATATATATAGATGTATGCAGTATATATATATATATATTTGTTTTTCATGTATATTGACTTTGTGCATAAATGTATATACTGTACATATATATATATAACTATTACTATAACGGAATGATGTAATTATTATCTCCAATGACTTTCACAGGTGGCAGGTTGAGACTTCCGCCCCCGCCCAGTTGGTGGGGCCTCCGTCGGAATTCTGGAGCTATGATCCAAACTTTGTGCAGCTTGGGCTAAGGACGGAGTCTATCACCTCACTTTTATATACTTTTATATATGGATATAGGATATAGATATATGGATATAGATTATTTTATATGGATATAGGGGATAATTATACCCAAAGTGACTCATATGCCACATTCTATTATACGGATACTAGGTCAATCTTGGATGGGTAGAAACTAATCCTTTAGTCTTTCGGCAATGGGTTTATTTGCGTTTACCAGCTAAGAATCTATTTTTCTTCAGGGCATCTAAGATTGGCCATGGATATAGGATACACCCCAATATTTGACTCATAAGCCACATTCTATTGGGGTTTCTATTGCGGAATGTATCCCACATGCATCCATGCATATATACTGCTGGTTTCCAATAGACGTCTTTTTGGTAAGTTCGATGTTTAAACCCACTGTATTTTTAATGATGATCAATCTGTTTAAGCATCTATTGAATATGAACTTATGATATCTTACTAAGATTATATTATGATGTTCTTCCTGGGTGAATTCACGAGTTTTTGTCTGATTTGTTTCAACCAGAAGCCAACCAAGCGATTTTTCCGGCCGCCGTTTATAGACCCCTTTATCCTCTAGCCACAAAGAAATGTCACACGTGGGGGGAAAGCCCATGCACTAGCATTTGGGGATGATCTACATCATCCATTTATGGTGATTTATGATGATTTTGGGGATGGTTTATTGATTTTGGGGATGCTAAAAATACAGTTTGTTCTTGGGTTTACCACAGGAAATTACCCGATTGTTCTAGGTATTTGGAGGCTCTAGAAACTTCTTTGGGGGTAGAGGGTACAGCATACCCCAGACAACAAGTGGTTGTTGAAACTGATGGCCCCTCCGAGCACAGGGTGGCTTCAAATAATAAATATATATATATATGTATATATATATATATGTATATATATATATATATATGATACTCTATACATTCAGTGCTATCTCATATCTTATAATTCATTAAAAAAACAGTGAAATCCCCACGTGATAGTTTGTATTTTCCAGATCCATACGTTTTTTCTGCCCGATTTGGGATGCCACTCGACTAAGGCCACAGAACCCTTGGGCACAGCGTGCGATCAGAAATATGTCCCTTGTGTCTGGATGGTATAGTCATGATTTGTTAGGGGGATTCCAATGGGATTATGATGGGATTTGTATGGTATTTCGTTGGGAAAGAATGGGATTATTATGGGACATGTTAATGGGATTATGATGGGAAATCCATGGGAAATCAGGCCGGTATATTCGTAACTGCCATGGTGGCCATGGCTTTCTGAAAACAACAGGTAAAAATCATCTTCAAATGTGGCATATTCCATTATGTCAAATTACCAGATTGTAGGTTGTTTTTGTTGGATTTGAATGGATTTGATGGGTATGTCTTTGTCTGTCGGCATTTTTCCTATTTATCCCACTCACTTGACTTAGTTGACACTTAAGAGAGGATCAACAACCACACGGGATTGGTGGTGACGATCATTGTCAGGGCGTCATGGTGATTTGGGCGTCACTTCATTAATTTCATCAGTTGTGTCAGCTGATGATTAGTGATTTGGTATCCAGTTCAGTGACTTCAACTTTGATGTTTCACCTGACATTCAACTCATTTGACTGGAATGTTGCTGTCGGTGGAAAGTGGAGACTTGGAGATCGGAATATTTCATGGTACTGGTATGATTGGTATGTCCTGATCCGAAAGTTACACAAATTGGAAAAGATGCAAATTGTGTAGGACAGCGGCCCCCTCTTGAAGAAACTGAACAGAATTTGTCGTTTTAAGAAGTGATAATTACTGTACCCCATTGTACCCCCAAATGTTTTCAACATGCTTGGTACTTTGTCACCATTTTAATCCAAGCCAACCCAAGCCAACTCGTCATGCGGTCGCCACGTGGCTACGCGAGGTGCAGTGGACTGACGAAGAGTACCCTACCCCCTGGGGCATTTCTTGCGCTGTGATCAGGTCGTAGCTGAAGGGGATACTTATTTCCTTATTGGTTAATCTACCCTTTTTTTAGGGGGAATATAGAATCTATTGGTATCCATGGTGTGCTGTTTTATCTTTATGTGAGGGTTCCTTCAGCAAAAGCAAGTATACAGTATACATCTGAGACAACCATTCTAATGTTGAACTGCACTGCAATGTTCTACTGAGAAGATGCGGTCAGCCGTGTTTGTTGTTTTATCGTAGCTGCAGTGTATTTTTCCTTTAAAGGCGTAAGGTAATACTGCTATATATCATACAGGTACTAGCATGTAGATATGCATACACATATGTATATATATAATCATGTACGTTCATATGCACAAATATACAATGATACACGTGTGTGTTAATGTCTTGCAGATGCGACTGTACAGTATAGCCGACAACTGCTTGGAACATCGTGTGCGGCTCACAAAGGCTGCACTGTAGGTTACAGGTTTTGCTACCAACATAACAAACGGATTGCAATAGCAGTGCCACACTTGATCATGTGTTTGCAGGTTACAGCATCGGCATGAGATGTGCCACCCTTGTTTTTACTGATTGAGTCTGCCGAATCCATCTTGTTACAGGATGTCGTATCCACTAATGATCCACCAATTCAATGGATACTCAAGTTCTTGACCTTCCCTAGCTACCGTTCTGGTCCAATTGAAACAAGTGACATCATGTGACTAAGTGAAAACCAACGGATCTGGATTTTCTGACCCCAAGAGGAAATAATAGGTTCAATATCAAGCTATGGTTTCTCGGGTGGGTATTGAACATACATAATATATCATGTATTATATAATTGTACGTGTATATATATATATATGTATATATATCCTTATATATATGTAATGTAATGTAATCTAATGTAATGTAAGGTAACGTAACGTAACGTAACGTAATGTAATGTAGGTACGCATGTATGTGTGTATGTTCATATTAGGACCAGGGGATTAGTTTAGATGAGTTGAAACCACCCAGCGCCGCGCCATGGAAGCCATAGAAACCACCGAGAACAACCGAGTGTTCCTTGGTTGACATTTGGTTTATAGGGATACCTCTATTGGATTATTATAATCCCCAATATATATATATATATACCTTGAGAAACTGTTGCCTTCTTTTTTTTGGGTTGCTAAAAAAAACCTAGTTTTTTTTTAAAAAAAAAACAGGTTTCTGAATTTGATCCATAATACCTGACAAGAACAACACCAGAAGGAATGCAAAGAATACAACAAACATCTAACCACATCACCCTCTCCAGTGTAGAAATCGTCCTTGCCTCAATGTGATCCAACAAAAAACTCTAAACATCTCCAAACCCGTCCACATACACGCGGAACACGCTTTCCTTTTCTCCATCCAACTATTTCAACATCCCACACTTGACCATGGCTGAGTACGCACAAATGAGATATCGCTGCAAAGATCTCAAAGAAACTCGTCGTACATTTACACGGCGGCTGAGCCTACTGGCCCGGCCGACTGTGTCCTCGTCCATTTGGCAACCCCAAAGATTGGGGTTGCAGGCGGTCCTGACTTCCTGAATCGATCGTAGGATGTCTATGTGCAAATGGTGCCATATGTGAAGCTTGGGATACAACGGAAAGCACCATTGTTTTCCCCTGGCATACATGATGGTTGCAAACTCGTAGTACGTCTCCAAAAATTTTAGTCCCTGTTCAGCGACAAATCGTCCTTCGTCCTCTGACAAGAAAGCTCCAGATCGATAGAGCATGCTAAACATCTCGTTGACACGATAAGTAGTTGAACGGGCCTTTGCCAGTAGGCCATCACTATCCACCGGAACATCTCCAAGTAGGGAAACCATCCACAACATAAAATTCGTTGTGAGTCCTCCTTTATGCCAATTTCCCATACATCCACCCGTCTCATTGTACGACAAAAGGTATGGAGTAATCTTGCTGATGTGACTTTGTTTTCGATTTCTGGAACACCAGCCATGGTAATGGTCTGTCAAATAATCCCATTTTTCATCAAGATTCGGCAATGGAAGTTGTGGAAGAATCATTTGCACAAGACTTGCAATCCAGGAACGCCCGAAGCCCAAGTGAAACACATGCCAGATGTCGCTCTTGAAGAATGAAGCTGGGTCATGTCTGTCGTGTACTAGGTGTGTGATCAAGGATGGCTCCCTGACCCATGGTAGCTTGACACCCACAGTTGAAAGCCATCTTGGGGTAGTTGTCGCAATTTCTTCAGCAGCACATAAATTTGTACCAGCCAAGCAGTATGGACAAACACCCTTGGGAGGTCCACGTTCCTGTCCACGTTTTGCGGTGGTGTTGTAGCTCCGATAAAAATGACCAACTTTTGAAAGGTATGGTGCGTCTCCTTTCACCCCCAGGATGCAAATACGAAAGGTCTCGCCACCCCTCGTATGGTCAACATACCCATAGTCCAGCAACCTCCGACAAGATTTGGCAACATGGCCGGTGGCATCATGAAACAAGTTGGGTTGAAGATCGTAAGCAGTCTTCGGGATAGTACTGAGGATAAACCGTGTTGTAAACGAATGGCCAGCAAAGTTCACTTGGAGATCATCACGGCCACCCTCCCCCGGTTTTCTCACACGCTTTTCATCGTATCCACGACCCAAAGCGCTCTGTAAACTAGTCACCAACATACCTCCCTTCTTGAGGGTTCGTCCCTCATCACCGTGTATGAAAAATGCAGCACATCTAGATAAGTCCACACTGTCATCATCGAAGAGACTAAACCCAGGGTGAATTTCTTTGTAAGTGGTCCAAAATTGTTCCCACTTACGTCTGGCCCCTTCGTAGTCATGCAAGCAACATCCAGCCATCACCGGCCACATCCCATTTCTGACAATGAATTGAAGCCATGACTCCGGAGAAACCCATGGTAGGTCAGTCCCATCACAGGATATGTTGTGAATCGGAATGTCCAGCTGTGTTCTTTGTTTCTTAACTATTTTTTGAACATCTCTTTCAGAGTTTCTTTCACTACACCGTGCCCACTGCTGCACCCCAATTCTGGCCGCCGTCTCTTGCCCAACGTCATGGGCCACAGCTTGGGCAGTGAGGATTTGGCTCTTGCAGCTGGCCTCAGAGGAAACTGAAGTATGAAAGTCAAATTGGCCTTAGCTGTTTTCTTCGTATTGCATTTTTTCTTCCTCGGCTCAAAACTTGTTGAACATATACTGTGGTTGAAAGTCTTCAGAACACAAACAAATGTGTTGGAAAATCACATGTAGTCCATGCACACAAGCTAAAAAAGTGCAAAGTCTTTTGCACACGCATCGGGCTCAAACAGTGCGCTAAATTACCATTTGTTGGCTGCTTTGCCAGGAACGAAGTGTAAACTTCATGCCAGCGGCCATCTAGAATTTTGCATATATCTTTGCATGAATTCAGCACATGACATATCACATGAGACTTTGACTTTTGTCATTCGCCTTACCTGTGCTTCGCACTTGCATGCTTGGCTTTTGCCATGATTTGTACACCACATATGAAAAGTATGGTCCATTGTCGATTTCTTTCACTGTGTCTCCTCCACGCCGCTCGTTCTTGCAGCCTTGCAAACCTAAGTTCCACTAGCGACTAAGCGAACAATAAAGTCAAACCGATATCCCGTGTCCGGTACTTGAACAATTCCACCGTTTGGACAAGTGCGCACACAGACACACACCCAAAACAGTACAAACCAAATTTGGAGAAATCAGAAAATAACCAACTTCAAAACAATCAAACACATGGATGCAAACAAGTAACCCCCAAAATGGTTGATCAACGCAGCTTCTAAGAAAGCTGGTCCATGTGGATTTGCAGCCCCATACAAAACTATCATGTAGTCGAATGGGTCCTTTGATCCCTTGTAGCCAAAGACAGAATTGTGCCATCGAACTGCAGGATCATGGGTAAAGCCGATTTTGAATGTCATAGGTTTCTTTTCAGCATAAAGTTTCTCGATTGTTTTGATACAATGGTTCAAAACACTGCCTGGAGTGGAACCCGGCTTTGGGAGTGCCAATGATAAGCAATAGTCCATTTCAATTTTCCGGAAACAATCCTGAGACCTCGCGAGAATCTTTAAGTCAGGATAAAGTAAATACCGATCCTCCCAAGTCTTGCGTTGACCATCAGGGTTTCGGCGATGTTGTGCATGGACACGAGTATCCTCCAAGGGCAAGTGATGGTGTTCAGAATGATGGTGCGCGGTGATCTTGGCCTCCGATCTCACACGCTTCACCGATTGCCAAGCATATGGCCCCAAATCAGCCTTGGGAATGTGCAGGCAATTAGATATTATATGTTAAGTATTGTTAAGTTGGATTCTTTGCATGCAACTTTAATCCACATGTGATACACCTGCAATCCCATTACTCAAACAGCTCAAAGCCCAAGACCCTTTGGTGACAAGAGTCAGATCTATGGCAGCTAAGCAGTTCAACCAGAAAGTCATCCGAGTCATCCATGGCACAGCCATCAAGTAAGCTGCAAGCTACAGAGATGCATGGCAATGTTTCCGGTTTTCTGATGTGTTCCTGCTATTGGATAATAAAAAAGTAAAAATGTCATAGGTTTTTACCTGTAGTTTTGGGAAATATGGTTCTACAATGTTCTACATATATATGATCAAAATAAATATGAACATATTTGGGTCGTTTCCGCTATAGCCTGATATAGGGTTGGAGTGGTATTTTTTTTGGCCTAAAACATCACTTGGTCCTAATGTCCTAATTGATCAACCAGAGCCCGTATTTACTGCAGTCACAACACTAACTTGTGTTTTCAGCCAACTCGTTTGCCATGCCAGCGCTGTGAGTTTCTGAGCACATGGCTCCTTCACCAACGTTGGCCGCGAAGCGCTTGGCTGACTTGCCAATGCGACCTGGCATCGTAATTTGGTGCGGGCCAAACGCAGGATGCAATATGTGTTGGCACCGGAGTGCATGTTGCATGCACGCACTGACTTTTTTTAACCCCAAGTCGCATGTTCTTGATGTTTGATGTCAAGTTGAAACCGCAATTGGTGTCTTGAATGGTGCGTCTCACACTGGCACTTTGAAAGTGAAGCCAAGCACGAACACATTGTTCAAACACAGCAAATACATCCAAAACATATACATCAACCAATTTTATGGTGGCTTTATTTTTTCCATGTGGCACCCCATTCACCAAAAGCCTGAAAGATATTCTGATTGCCATCAAATTTTGCATTGAATTGCGTCTAGGTAACGCAATGACCAAACTAAATGTAAATATTTTTGGAATGTCTCGCTGACAAATCCAGCCAATGAAGTATCAGCGCCCCAGGGCCCATGAGACTGACATGGACCGATGATCACTTTTTGACTTGCTCCTCATCCTTGACCACCACCTTCTTGAAGTGCCGCTTTGCGGACCTAGGGTACAGGGATGTACAGGGGGAACAACATGGGGGTCCATCACACTGTTGGGTGTTGGAAGACAATTTCAAAATGATAAAATGTTCATGGCTTGACAACTTGTCCCAGGATTTGCTTTGCCTGCTGCATCACTGGCTTGCTATACTCCTTGGGGCCCTGACCGAATCTTGGCTTCGGTCGCGGCCACTTTGGTGCACCTGGTGCAAAATGGACTCCATTGAAACAATCTATTTTTCGAAAATGAATCATTTGTGATGGTGAACTGATAGTTCTTGATCACTAAAAGTTTCAAACCACCAAGGCACGTAAAGGTGGACAGTTTCAGGATCTTCTCAGACTCTGCAGACCACCTGGGATATTGTCTGTATATACATGATATATATTGTCGTCTATGGTATATGTTCCGATTTATCGATTGAAAAAAAAATACGATCATAAACATCAAACAACATTTAAGTGTTAGGAGTGCAGATACATCGACATAAAAAACAATGTGCAAACAAAGTTGCTCCTTGGAATGATCATCCCGTTCTCCCTTGGCCATGTGCTCCGACAACTTGTTGTACTCCGAGTCCAAGACTTTCAGGTCATTGTTCAGAGTTTCCACAGCCCTCGGACATGCAAGCTTGGATGGGCAATGCTGCACTGGAGGCATGGGATATGGGCACATGGAATCTTTAAAATGCATTTTGAAGCTGCCATATTTTTCATGAAGTTGTGAACTATATATAGTATTAAGACTAGTAGCTTCATCGCTGTGGAATCCTGGTTATAGTTTTTCTGCAAGTCGGTGATGAGCGATCGAATCTTGGACGTCTTGGACAGCACAGACTCCGTATGTTTGGCGAAAAGGTCTTGTGACCTCAATGCCTTCCAAGATCAAAAATTCGAGGGCAATGTTTTTATGGTACAACAGACACCGAGACCACTAAAGTTCGAATCCTTAAAGAATATTATTTCCCCACCTGCCAGGTGAGGGTTGTTAGATTTTATCAGAGCTATTCTCCTCCTCCTCCTCCTCCTCGGCTAGCTGTCCTCCTCCTCCTCCTCCTCGTCCTCCTCCTCCCCCTCTAGTTTCTCCTCGACCATGTCTGCATCAACTTCCACCTCCACTTCCGCCTTGCCAACTCTTCGCCAAGCTCTTTGCCAACTCTCTTCGCCAAGCTCTTTGCCAACTTCCCAGCTCAGTTGGGACCTCAACCTGGGACCTGCCCAGCTCAGTGTGCACCGCTGGACCTCAAGCGGGACCGTCTCAGCTCAGTGTGCACCGCTGGACCTCAACCTGGGACCTGCCCAGCCCAGTGTGCACCGCTGGACCTCAACCTGGGATTTGCCCAGCGCAGTGTGCACCGCTGGACCTCAACCGGGGACCTCCCCAGCTCAGTGTGCACTGCTGGACCTCAACGGGCAGATAGAATGCCAGAAGATATGCCAGACAGAATGTCAGATGGAATGCCAGAAGGTATGCCAGATAAAATTCCATGAGATATGCCAAATAGAATGCCAGAAGATATGCCAGATAGAATGCCAGAAGATATACCAGATAGAATGCCAGAAGATATGTCAGATAGAATGCGAGAAGGTATGCCAAATAGAATGCCAGATAAAATATCAGATAGACTGCCACAAGATATGCCAGATAGAATCCCAGAAGATTTGCCAGATAATATGCCAGAAGATATGCCAGATAGAATGCCAGAATAGATATGCCAGAAGATATGCCAGAACATCTTCCAGTAGAATGCCAGAAGACATGCCAGAAGATATACCAGAATATATGCCAGAAGATATGCCAGATAGAATGCCGGATCGAATGCCAGAAGATATGTCAGATAGAATGCCAGAAGATTTGCCAGTAACAAATCGATAAATGTCATGGTGGGGATCACTCGAAGTAAAGTATTTTGTGTTACATTGTCATGTATGTGTGCATGGTCACATGTTCTTGCATTATTTATTGTTTCTCATACATCCCGATCTGGAACAATGCACCTGAACAAACACATAAGAATATAATCATTCAATCGGGCACCATGGGCATGTAATTTCCCACACCTCGCTCGTAGCTGTACATTGGGCACTCCTGGCTGCAGCATCTCGTTCTGCATCAGCATCAACTCTGCCCAGGTTGACATCTGCAAGCTTTGGTCCATCTGACCCCTGTGGCAGGTCACACGTGGATTGGGACGATTCTGGGTTTGTGAGGATGAAAACCTAATGGTGGCACATGACACTTGGCACACAAGGGATAGGGGGGCTGTCCTGTGTTTGTTCAGTCGTTTCTTCAGAGGCTTTCTGCTGCTGCTCGTTGGTGCCCGTTTCCCGTACATTCACACGGTACTCATCATCACCGCCATATTGGCATCGCCTGCGGGCAAGATCAAAAAATAAACTGTTTTAGGGGAAGCTAATTCATGCAGTGACATTTTCTTTCACACGCAAGAATATGATGACTATGAAGATGCAAACAAAGTTTCCAAATTGAATCGTCTTTCAATAATTCTTGAAAAAGGTACTGACTTGATGGCATGGAGAGGAAGATGCAATCGGAATAAATATTGGGGTTTACCAACACCGGCCCTGAGGATCAACTCCATTGAAGATATCGAAAGGCCTGATGAGTTTGATAGGATCTTGCTCGCACAGCTTGATTGCCCCAGTGATTTTTTTCCTGGGTGTTCGGGGAAGGTGAAGGATATAGATGGATCGACATACATGGTTTTCATATCGATCAAGTATATTTTTCAAACTAAAGTTGCAGGAATCCATCAACAATTATAACTCCACCGGCCACATGAATACATATTGATACCATGCTATACTTGTGAAGATAACCAAATAAAAATGATTGCATGCAGGGAACGCAGGCCACTTCAAGATTTTCACCATATCGTCCTTGGTATACGATCCACTAGAGATGACATTCGCATTCGTCTCGCTCTTGGTCAGGGTTTTGGTCTTGTACTGAATGAACCGATCCTGCAAGAACAGGCGCTGACTGGATCCAGAACAACAGCTTCGACAAGGGGCTGGAAGTTGGAGATGTGCTGGAGTATGCCAGGGTTTCGATTCTTGGAATGATTGTTAAAACCTAAGACATCTTAAAACCAAACATTTTTTCGATGGTCTCCTTGTTGAAATTGCAAGATTGAAACTCTTGCGCGAGTTTCAGATGGTCACCCGACTTCCACATGTCATGCAACCACTGGGGTACCTGTAGGCGACCCCCTTTCTTTGGTTCGCACAGCCTTCGCAATCGTGCCTTCAAAGCCGCGTTGTCCTTTGTTGGCCGGAACATGTCGGAACATCCCATGTGGAATTCCATCAATGTTTTAAGACCAAAAAAGGCATCCCAAATCAAATATGTTCGGGTGTATTCAGATTGGTTATTATTACGCATTCATTTTTTTTTCAATGGGAGAAAATGAAAGTAATTGGTAAATATCAAAAGCAACATGCTCATGATTGTTGAACGGATGATCAAGTATCAGACTTGGCCTTTTTGGCTGATTCGATGAAATCATCAAGTTCGGCATCATCCACCGGGGAATCATCAATTGAAGTGGGAACTACTGTTGGGGTCACCTCAGCAATGGGCCTCTTTTGGCCACCTGCAGTGGGTCGGTCACCTTCCCCAAGGAGCTTCGCTGCCAGACTGTCATCAATCTGGCCACTTGCAAGCAGCTCATGCACTTTGGCTCTTACCTTGCGATGGTGAGGATTGGAGGAACTTTGGATTAGAAACCAGCACCTCTATCGTAAGTAATTAATGCCAATACTTTCAAGGATATTTTCTTGGGTGCCCAGTTTCGCTAGAAGGTAACAGGTTTGATCCCTAACAGGAAAGGTATGGCGAGAATTGCTAACATGTCGACTTTTGAAAACAGTATCCAGTTAAGCTCAACCCCAGGGACAGCATCATCACCATTCGAAGCAGATGATGGTACAGGTGAAGTTGGTGACACAACAGCTTTGCTACCCCCATCAGAGCTAGCATAGGTTGGAGACTTCCCCAGCGACTCAGCAACTTGGGTATCAGTGGCAGGCAAGGTATCCCCCAAGGCGCCCAAGGAGTCATGCTGAGGCGAAGCCTCAGGAAACAAGCTCATGGGATCCCGTCGCATATATATGATGTAAGCTTCAACCCCAGTCAATGGCTGAAACATGTTTATTCTCTTTTGGCATCTAGATATGTCTTCAAATACCTGCCCGCACAAAGGGTTCCAAAAAACATGAACACCAAAACCCAACATATATGCATGCAGTCCAGAAACGATGCTCTGTAGCTGCAACCTCTCCAAGGATTCGGCCTGATGAAGCCGAACAAGCTGCTTTGCTGAAATCTTCAAGGGACCTACATGGTTGAACTTGGGATGGGGATTCCAAACCGAAGCCATGCTTGAAGGAATCAACTGTTTGAAATGAAACCCCAATCAAAAATCACGATGCATCACAATTCAATTTCTATGTGTTGTTGTTTGGATGTAAAGACGGCATACCCAGCTAGTATAAGTTAACAATATCTAACACCAATTGCGATGATCAGGCCTGGGATTGCTTAGCCTCAAGGTCTGCCAACTCCTTTTCCATTGCCTGTGGGATTGGTAAGATGCCAAACACGGGATTTTAATTACGAACAACATCAACGTATATGTTTGTAACTCTTGTGTGGATCGATGTTTTGAACCCCACCTCTAGATCTTCCAGGTTGTCAGGCAACTGTCCATTTGCATCATATAGGACTTGACACACACCAAGGCTCAACTCACTGGTGGAATTGGTTCGCGAGAGCATGGTGCGTGCCGTGTCAGCACGCAAAAAAGCCATTCGCAAAATCAAGGTCCACAACTAAAGGTGACCTAAAGCCAAAATACCCTGAGAATCTACATATTTTTCATTTGTCCATTCTATCCAGAATCTGATTTGAATGATATTGGTTGTTTTGCATTCGATTGTTTAGTCAATACTGACAATGTTTCCGGAGCATTGCAAATCCCGCTGTAACAACAACTTTTCACGAATACCAGGCAATGTGATGCAGCAAAGTTCTGTTCGATTGTGCAGCTCTTGGCATATAATTGCTAATTGTCGCAAGTGGTGGGACACCACACCTGACACATGTTGCCAAAAGTTCAGCCAACATGGACCTATCCCTTGGGTATCAATTCGTTACAAAACCACACAAATTTTGTTAAAATATGTTCAAAATCTTTATCATTAGGACATAAGTTAAGCCCAAAAAAACCTAGGTTTTTTCCATTTCTACCCATAAATTTTTATGGGTAGATTACGGGAAATTATGAGTAGATTACGGGTCGGTTACGGGTCCCTAAGTTACGGGTTAGAATTATGGTTTTTTTTGCTTTGTGGTTACGGGTAAAGTTGTGGTCATTACGGCCGGTTACGGTTACGTTCAAAAAAAACCTAACTTTTTTCCTATTGGTTACGGGTAATTATGGGTAATTTTGTTCAAACAACAGCGGTAGATTACGGGCCGTTACGGGTGATTACGGATTACGGGGGATTATGGGTAGTTTTTTTGATTTTCCAACATAGATCCGTTATTTTTAACTTGGGTGGTCAAACCATTCCATTTTTTGGCTGTCGGCTGAACAGCAACACCCGCTAATGCACAAACTGGCGCTAGTGGACTTAGAGCCTTTTTGGCAGCAAGCCCGAAAAGGACGGGGGAACCTTTAGATAAACACCACCCCTAAGGTAATGGCAAACATCAGACATAAATGCTTCTTGCCACATGTCATCAAACGACATGCTGGCGAATGTTTCCGCCGCACTGGGGACATGTTCTGGAAGTTCTGGCATCCCACGCTTCTCCTTGATCATCAGGTAGAACATCTCCACGAGCTTCTGCCCGAACTTTTGTGGGTAGCACCTGGGCCAAAGCAGAGGGTGACTTGACCTGGTTATGGGAAACCACAAAGTTCAAGTTTCGGCACTGCTTCTCATGAATCCAGCATGATCAGAATTAAATATCATGAAGTTCTAAAATATAAACGGCCCAACATGATTGTTGAAGGTTTCAGATTCCCTTTGCCATGAAATGTTGATTGCATATTATTGCTGAACGCAACCGAAAGAAAATAATTGAATTGGACATCATTTGCACTGATTCAATGTTATATGCTTTGAAAAAATAGGGTTGGGGCTCGGAGGAGCGTAGGCGCTTGTTGCCTTTCCAACGGGGTTGTCCAGAAGCATCTACATACTTGTCCACCAAGTCATAGGTTTGACCCAGCTCTTTCAACGCTTCCTTCTTTTGAAGCCATCCCCTCAACTGACCAAGGTTCAACTTGTCAATATGGTGGGTATTGGCAAACGCATAATGTCGTTTGGGTGTCGGTCCACCGTAGTGCAGCATGTACCAGCTGGTTTTGTGGACCTGGGACAGCCGCATGTGTGTCATACCATTTGCCATATGATCTGGTACTGGGTGAAAGATGCTGGGTCGAATATGGTAAACCAACAGACTTATGTATATCCAAAACCAGATGTGCCAACAGTAATCTACCCCAAAACAATGATGTCTTTTCTTGTTGTCTGCAACATGTACACCAAAAACTGGTGAAGTGATGCATGCCGGAATATTCCAACATAATATAACATAATGACATGTGTACCATCCCAAAAATGATGCTAGAGTCAAGGTTATCACAGCTGGCAACGAATATATACTGTTCCAAATGGGAAACTTACATGGAAGGTGGCCTGGTGGAAGCCTTTGAAAATGTCCAAAAAAATCAGGCTACCGCTTTGAAACTCATGGTCAAGGTACTGCATGAGGTCCACCGGTATGCTGCAACATCCGAATAAAGTCCCGGAATCTAGGGTAGAACTCAAAGAAGGACGAAAAGGGTTGTTCCAGGGTAATCACGGCATTGAGACAAACTGCTACCATCATCAAAAGTAGCATCCTCATTGCAGGAACCCAGAGGGGTGAAGAAGCGATCGTTTAATGATAATGATTTTTCCCCACCTGCCAGGTGAGGGTTGTTAGATTCTATCAGAGCTGTTATCCTCCTCCTCCTCCTCCTCCTCCTCCTCGGCTAGCTGTCCTCCTCCTCCTCCTCCTCGTCCTCCTCCTCCTCTAGTTTCTCCTCGACCATGTCTGCATCACTTCCACCTCCACTTCCTCCTTGCCAACTCTTCGCCAAGCTCTTTGCCAACTCTCGTCGCCAAGCTCTTTGCCAACTTCCCAGCTCAGTGTGCGCTGGGACCTCAACCTGGGACCTGCCCAGCTCAGTGTGCACCGCTGGACCTCAACCAGGGACCGTCTCAGCTCAGTGTGCACCGCTGGACCTCAACCTGGGACCTGCCCAGCCCAGTGTGCACCGCTGGACCTCAGCCTGGGATTTGCCCAGCGCAGTGTGTATCGCTGGACCTCAACCGGGGACCTCCCCAGCTCAGCGTGCACTGCTGGACCTCAACGGGCAGATAGAATGCCAGAAGATATGCCAGATAGAATGTCAGATGGAATGCCAGAAGATATGCCAGATAAAATTCCGTGAGATATGCCAAATAGAATGCCAGAAGATATGCCAGATAGAATGCCAGAAGATATACCAGACAGAATGCCAGAAGATATGCCAGATAGAATGCGAGAAGGTATGCCAAATAGAATGCCAGATAAAATATCAGATAGACTGCCACAAGATATGCCAGATAGAATCCCAGAAGATTTGCCACATAATTGCCAGAAGATATGCCAGATAGAATGCCAGAAGATATGCCAGAAGATATGCCAGAACATCTTCCAGAAGATATGCCAGATAGAATGCCAGAAGACATCCAGAAGATATACCGGAATATGCCAAAAGATATGCCAGATAGAATGCCGGATCGAATGCCAGAAGATATGTCAGATAGAATGCCAGAAGATTTGCCAGTAACAAATCGATAAATGTCATGGTGGGGATCACTCGAAGTAAAGTAATTAAGGTTAGAATCGAAATGGTTTGAACTTGGTGGCTTTCTTAAATGAACACATGTAAATTGTGATGTAAAATGTATATCGACATGTTTATACAAGGATCCGGCTCCCAAGGCAATTGGCTTCACGTACCGAAGCATGTTCAATGTTTCCAATGCTACTGCAAGGTGACCTACCACTGGTACCGGAATTGACAGCTGTCCATGAAGCACATTTCAACCCGTAGTGATTCCACCAGCCCTTATCCACATCTCCTCGCAAAATGATTGCCAATGCTGTCCTGAGCTGCGAATCTGATGGAACCAGAGAAAAGTATGGGGAAACAAGTAACCACAAGAACATAAACAATGCTAAACTGTATGGTTATGATGATAATGTTTAATTGGGAAAAGGTCAACCATGTTTTTTTTTTAAGTCTAGCTTCGCAAATCCAGGTGGTGTGCAAAGGTCCATGGGGTTGCAACGGTCAGCTTCAGCACTCATGTATTTAAGATCTAGCCGTGCAGACCTGAAATCACTGCTTCGGAATGCCATGGTAGCCTGGGCCTCTCCTGCGAAGGTCTCAACAAAGGAGAACACAGAATTGTCCTGCAACGGCCAATGAACTAGATACATCTAACTATATAAAGTTTTAAGGTGGTGGTAATGGTGGTGGTGGTGGTAGTAGTCTGTTAAGGTGTTGAGGTGTAAATTCACACTTAAATGTTGCATGTGTAATTCGAATCGTGATTCAAAAATCAAAGAACCATGAAGTTCATGAAGGTCAGCTGTCCTGCCAACTTGATTCTGGAATGTCAGTCCAGATCGTCAAAAGAGTGGCAAACACCAGTACCTTTGCTCGATCCCAGTCAGCATCACTGAGCACAAGTGTCAAGTTGTGCCAACCTATTGGAAAAGCTAGCACGAAGAACATCAAAAACATCTATCATATATCATGCTAACATTTCCTGAAGCATCCCCCAATTAGCAAGCTGATTTGCAACCATGGCACTTTGGGAGCTCCCAAAGCTTTGAGACGCCAACACAAATTGTCAACGAATTGCGGGGACCACGCCATTGCCAGAACCCCCCAGACTTGTGAAGTAGCTTAATATCTAAAATCAGACGAAACAAATACAATCCTGTTATATCCTGTTTGTGTTCTGTAAATATTGTGCGGACATGCATGCATCGATCTATATGTGCACATGTACGCATGCACATGCACATGCACATGCACATAGTCTATGTGCAAGGTGTTTATATGTTGAAATTGTATGCATATATACATTTCACTTTGGGACCAACAAATGCCAATCCGAACAATAATTCCAACACTGGGCTCCAGTCTGCACCTTGAGGCTGCTGTTTCAGACGAGGCGGCGCTCAGACGATGTTTCCGCAACACAGCTGCAACATCAAGTTGCCATTCATGGATCAAACTTTCTCCATTATTCCACTGTCAAACCATGATGTTATATGATGTTTTTTTGAGGGGCCACACTTGAACCATTCCTTTTCGGAATGCGCTGGCCCAATGATAATATGTTTCATGCATGTGCATCTAGTGCAACACAAAGAAAAAGTCCAACCCAATCTCAGGTCAAGATTGTAATGTGTTTCCAAGTTGCCACCCTTTGGTCCCTTAAAACATGGCGAGTTCACTTGAGTCATCCTCAAGCAATCCCAACTTCACAGCCCAACGGTTGCCTCTCAGCGAAGGCATTGTGAGCTGGTGTCCGACCTTGGCGGTGGCTGCGATGAAACTTGGAAGGGTTGCAACTCGGTTGAATAAGACGAAGTGCTGATAAACATACTTGAGAATTCTTGGTAATGTTAATGAGATTTGGGCATATAATGAACCCTATTATGATAACACAACCATGGTCATCATGTTAGCGAAGAAAATGCAAAGAACAAAGCTAGGGAAATCACAGCCTGTATTTTCCACCAGCAGGACATTTTGAGGTTTTCCCCAAAGCCAAAAGATCGACGATGCCATCTTGGAAGCGGCCCCCACTCTAACACCACTGAATGTGCAAATGGCCATGGGCCATGCCAGCTATATACAATCTGCAGGCAGTACCGGTGCAGGGGCAGGGTTTCAAATAAATACTGTTTCAGATGGTTTCAGTGTTTATCACTACAGACTGTTTCAAAAGAACAGTGAAAGTTTGCATTAAAATTAATGAACATGGGGAAAATATGTTCCAGACAGTCTTGGGTTTGTAATATGGAACCTGTATTTTTTGGTGATTGTTTTTATTTGGAACTACTTCAAACGGTTGTGGCATTACCGCAGCGATACGTGCCCATGCAGATTGTCCCATGCCATCCAAGCTAAGGCAAAGCGATCGCCCTGACAACCTACACTCCTTTGTGGGCTGCAGACTGAACCTCGGCTTTGCTATCTACAACAAGGATGGGATTGACCAATGATTCTAACAGTAACGTATTCGAAACATCAATCTGGAGAATAAGATAATAAGTACTGTCGAACCACCTGAAATCCATTCAGACCATTCAGAATTGTCACCAAGGTTTCACCAACGAATCCACAGCACATGTAAGCCAAATCTATGGCCCTAAGAATTTCGATATCTATTTCTTTTTGGGAACCATGGATGCTGCCACATTCCCATTGTACTTGAAAAACATGATCTTTTGCTGGAGCTCACCCATAGGGTCAGTCCAATTCTGCACGATGCGCTCACGGTCATCTGTCGTCAACGACTCCAGCCAACCAGCCTGGGTCAAAGTGCAATGCAGCTCCAACTAACTGTCGGGCTTTCATTTCAAGAAATGGATCCTTCCAGAAAGAAAAGCATGTTTCAGGAAATGAAAAGGCTAGGTGTGAATGAATTTCCCAGAGTACCCAATTTATAGTTGAAAGCCCAGCCAAGAAACCAGCAGGGAGCAAGAGACATAGGAAAGCACCATGCTTTCGTTCCAGCCTGGCGCAGTGCCAGAACGACCAAAGTAGGCGATCTCAGTCTTCTTGTCCTTGCGCACCAAATGGGTCTGGAGACCACATGCTGACCTGGTCTTGTAGGGGTCGAGCTTGAAGTTGAAAAAGTCCTTCTCAATGGAATCGGCGAGGTAGTCCTTCATCTCATCATAGGTCAAGCCCTGCACGGCTTTCATGTGTTGAATGCAAATGCCTTGAACTTGTGGACAGGCCTCAGGGCCACCCTGCATGATGCGCGTCTCATCCTTGCTAGCACTCTTCTTGCGACGCTTGGACTCATTCTTGGCAAAGGGCGACAGCTCAGCGTCTTTCTTCCTAGATGCGCGCTTGGCCGCAGGCTTCTTTGGGCCATGGGAATCATCTTGGTCAGGACATGAAGCAGCCGAAGAAGATGCAGGCAAAGTAGAAGCTGCCGAAGCCGACTTCAACCTCTTCTGGGGCTTAGACTTTTCCCACTGCTTGGGAGCATCCGCGTTGTAGATCTCCGACAGTTTTTTCACTTCCCCAGTCTTGGCATCAGCAATTCGGTCTTCTTTGCAATCTCCAGCCTTGCACTTCTCATCACCGTCCTCGTCGTCAGACTGAAACAACATTTTCTTGGGCGTTTTCATGTTCTCTTCATCCTGCTCATTTCCACTCTCTGCATTCTCATCCTGGTGGCCTCGAGACTTGGCCTTTGCCTTTGCTTTCTTCTTTGGCTCTTTTTTCTGTTCGGACTTTGCTTTCGCCTTTGCCTTTGCCTTTGCTCCTCCCTTTCGGGTTTTCTCAGGCACATCATGAGTGTCACCCAATGCGGGCTCCACAGCCTCAGGCTCAGCAATTGGCTTCACTGACTCATCACCCTCAGCTGCGTTCTCATCCAACTTGGAAAGTTTCTTGGCACGAGGCTTCCTTTTGGCCCTGGCTTTGGGGGCCGTCGCGGACACCTGCTCTGGCTCCTCCATCTCAGGTTCACTTGCCTTTGCCTTTCTACCTCGTCTTTTTTAAACCACTTCACCCTTCTGGTCGTCCTTCGCATTCTCTTTGGCCACGCTCTTCTCCTTCCTGGCACGTTCCTTTTCCTCTTTCAGCTTCAACTGGTCACGACGTGTGAGTACTGGGGGCACCTGGAAGGGCCAAATTTGGGATGAGATGAGGTGCACATGGCACCAGGCAAAACCAATGCAAAAAAGATTCATGTGCTCAGTTCATGTGGACCGGCGTCACTTGATGTGCAGATCAAGTGAATTAACTTCAAATCTAAAATGGGCAATGTCACAAGCTTGCATATGTTTTTCGAAACCAATATGCAACTTGGCCCATTGTTGACAAAAATACCAACCGAACCCGAACCTCCAGACCAGGAGGATTTTCATGGTTCAAAGGTTCGTGACTTGGCACAGTACTGGTAGTGGGCATAGCCAAAGAAAACGCAGCGGCGGCTGCAGCTGCAATCTGCGACTCATCCACCATCGGCTGGGTCTCGGCGTTGTCAAGTGCTGGTGCATCAGGAAGTGGTTTGAAACCTGCAAGGTCAGGCTTTGACACGTGCAAATGTGGAAAGAAGAAAACCATGAGCACACCCACGGCTATTCATGGGCACAACAGTGAAAAATGGTGATGAACAATGTGCTGCATACAATTCAAATGGTTTTTGTTTTATACCGTTTCTAGCAATTCTATATATAATTCATATCCCTTTCATATCAATTTCCCAAATGCTAGAACAACCAGCTTAATCTAAAAATAGAAACAAGACCCATCCCTTTCCAACCAGTACCTTTAGCAGAGCTGCAGCTTTCTCACGGGAAGTAGGAGCTGGTTTATCAGGTGCATCCTCTGACTTGGAACCAAGATCTCCACCATTCCTGCATGGCATACTTTGCAGGATTATCTGTAATGAAAAACAATGGGGTGTGAAGATATAACACATCAGAGTAAAGATTTGAACATATTTGAACCAATTGGACATGATTGGAAAGAATTTCATTGGACACATTGGACATCAATGGCGATTTTCCACCAACACAGTTGTTCAATCATCAGCCCCCGATGCGCTCAACTAAGAAAAGCGTCTCCGTGGACTTCTTTGCTGCGGCTTGCTGAAGCAGCTCTGCCTTCTTCTTTGCGATCAGCTCGCGAAGTTCCTGCCGGCGACGCACGTCATCTTCAGCGCCTGGGCCAAAACAAAGGGAAGAGGGCACCTAAAGATATTTTTCTGGATGTGTGCAGATCAAATAGATTCATATTCTATTGTGAATGGATTTGGGTTCAACATCATATCAAATCATAGCACCAAAATAAATAATTATCCACAATGAGGTTCTGAGAGGTTTGCAAGGAATCGAAGTAGGAGCTGCAGGCAAAGCCAGAGGCTTGGGACCAGCAGCAACCGTTTTTGACTGCGAAGAAGGGTTGGTTGAATCAAGCCATCGTTTGAACTCAGCGAACTCCCGGTTGGTATCTTCATCATCATCACCATGATCGTCATCTTCATCTTCACCAGGTGATTGCGCAGGAGTCGGTTTGCGCTTGCAAGACTCCAAATATTGGTTGATGGTCTCCTACAGGAAGGGTATATTCTATTATATATTAATGATCATATACTATCAGATATTTTCAGATGTTATCATATAATATCATGTAATATCATATATTACTTCAAATGGATATGTCATATTCTATTAAAACTATGTTTGAAATTTGAACTGTCGGATCTCTTTTACATCTAAATCAAATTCCAAAAATATAAGTTGTTTTTACTGGGTGAACTTCACCTGGCGGCGTTTGGCCCAGTCCTGGCAGGAAGGGTCCAAAACCAGCAACAGCTCATGGAATCCAGCGTCCTTTCAGGGGAATGGTAAAGGACAGTGTAAGAGGACGGATATCAACCCCAACATACACGAAAATATGAGTGGACGATCTTATACTTGAATTATTTTTTTAATGTTCAGGTTTTTTTTACAATATTTGGGATCAGTGACTGCTAAATGTTGTATCTTGGAGATCATGACTGAACAAAAATGAAGTAGAGCAAATGAGCAAAACTAAATGTTTTGGACTGTACCCTTTCCTTTGTCACCTCCTTTTTTTGAGCTTGCGAGAAACCAGACCCGCTAGTTTCTTAAGTTCAACGGTGGTCCGATAGGGACCCTTTTCACCTGGGTTGAGACCAGATTTTTCGTACAATGTACGAACTTCGATCTGAAGGTCATCTAGGTGCGGCAACTTCCAATCTTTGGTTTTCCCCAGACGGGCCAAGAGGGGTTCCAAAACCATGGCATTCCGCACTGCGTTGGGCCTGTGAGGCACGCAAAACGACTCACCCACCTCATGTAGAAGGATCTTCTTGTCATTTCTGATCCGTTCACGTAAGCTATCGATCTTTTCCCATTCCACGGCCAAGCCCAAACACTCACATTTAGAGGTGCGCTCCATGTGGCCCCTGGGCCAACACAAGATCACTAGGCTCCTGGATCCCAAATGCTTTAGTTAGAAAATATCAATGTCATGGAACCCATTGAATCAAAATAATTTAAGTATAAAATAGTATAAACAGTCCACATCGTTCAATGTTATGTGTTTCACAGATATGTTTTGTTTGAAGTTGATGTCCTCATCAAAACCCAACTGAGGTGTCAAATCGCACACTTCGACCATCGACTCACCCGAGCTGCTAAAAATGGGGAGCCCGGCCAGCGCAGCAATGGTGACCAAGTAGATCAAATAGATCCAGCATTGCATGGCCAAGCACGGGAAGGCCAAGGTAAAATTATAGATATGGGCCCCCAGCGGTTGATTTATGACAATTATCCTGGCTGAAAAAAATCTATCATATCATTGAAACATCTATTGCATCAATGGTTGACCATCTTTGGGGATTGATTTGGTTTCCCATTGTCCTTGCAGGGAATCTCCCCGCTACTGGATAATTGTTTGATCATGTGTGATTACTTCCATAGAATTTATGAATGGCACATTCAATGTATTGATCCGATTTCAGCTGAAGGTTGCATTCACCACCGTTGGACCCTGGGAAGTGGATGCCTACTGAAACAATAGGTTATTATAGCTATATAATGTTATATAAACCAGGGGTATTAAAAAAAACTAGGTTTTTTTTAAAAAAAAAACATGTTTTTTTGGGGTACATCAAAAAAACCAGGTTTCTTATATTCAACCATAAAAAAGTAGGTTATTGTTGCAGTAGGTATATATATTGGGGAGTATAATCCTCTATAATCATTAACCAACAGGGGTTTTGAACACTAATCATTTGACAGAACTGGTTGAACTTCTGTGCAATTGAGTAAAAGTGATTTGTTCAAGTAACCATGATGAAACTGCGGAAGATCATGGCAGTTGAACCGACTGCCTTAAGTTTTTGGTTGTTCAACTCTGTGTTGATCTCATAGAACTAACATGATCCGAGGTTCAGTAAGGCGGAACTCTATGAGCAGAGCTTTCCATGGACCATCATTGCAGGGCAGGTCCGAAAAGTGTCCGAAAAGTGTCCTCAAACGTGACTGGGAAATCCCCGAAAAAAAATCCGACAAATAGAGGTTTCCGGGAACATCATGGAAGCTTGGTGAATTTTCCAGCAAGCCATGCCGAGGTGGAAGCCCAGGGAAACAGCAGAGTTAAGGTGGGGTAAATCCCCAATTTTCAGACACACTCAAAGATCAAAGTGTTGGTCACAAAATCGCATTGTGTCAAATAAATTCAAATAATATTATATATATATATATGCATATTATGTATTATTATGTATCATTATGTCATATACATATGAATCCATTGGTATCCCATGACATCCACAAATGTGGTAAACCGTTGTCCATGAAATTCAGATGTACCCAGCCAAAACTTCACACGGCTCAGCATTGCACAGGTCTTTGCCATCGGGTCCTTCATTCCGCAGCACCCGGGTGGTTTTCTAATTCGCCGCGCCATTGGGGAAGATGCCACCGAGCACCTTGAAGGTTTGGGGGTGTTGTCACTCAAGTGACTGAGATCCTCAAAGAAACGTTTGTTTTTCTTGTGGTACTTCCATAAAAAAATGGGATATCATAGCTCTAATCATCCAAAAAACCATAATAGTACATCATCAATTACTATTAACTCAGAAGCCACAATTCTACTTTCTCTCGAAAATCCGCCATGGATTTCGATGATGTTCCGGAGGCTACTGGGATTCCACCAGTCCAAATCACATCAAATCACCAACCATGGGTTGACATCCTACACTTTCAGACTTTCAGACGTTTTTCTGTTGCTCTTTGTGGATTGGAACTCTGAGGGCGGTTCGGTTCGTGCATCACTTGAGAGGTTTCGGTGTTGCTGATGTTTATTTCCATCCTACCTGCGATGATGTCCAATGATTGCTTTTGGGATGGATGGCCGTCAAACCACCAACTGGTTTTCATCTTGATGGATTACCTTTTGGAGAGATTCTAAAAAGATGGGTGAGTAAGCTTTGCTTTCAACTTCTCGCGCGCTTTGGAGAGATAACCTCAATATCTTTCAAGCGATGATCAAGGGATCTTCAAAGTTTATATTGAGTCGTTCAAAATCGTTATACTACAGTAGTTATACCCCATTCTGTTCCAATTTGACTGAGCGAATGGTTATGCATAATCATAGATTATTTTTGGATATTTTTGGTGGGTACACTAGTTCTGGAGATTGTTTGACAACCCATACATAGATCATTTTAATCAGCTGAGAAGATTCAGTACAGGTGGCTCCCCCAGTTGCAATTTGATTCATAACCCCCATCAAACAATGTTCTTATTGCTATAGACCCTACTCAATCTAGTCATAAACCAACTTAGCCAATATAAATCAACCAGATAAATCCCACATCATCCATGTTTTTTTTGTGAACTCTCACCTTTTCCCTTCCTACATTTTCCTACCTTAACGGACCGGGAAACGGAATTTTGGCCGCGTTGACGTCTCGAGGCTTTTCTTGTCACACCACTGCCCTACGGGTCCTGCAGCAAAAACTTTGGAGTCCCGGCGGCAAGACAGATGGGCAACATGCTCTATGTATGGTATCTGATTGGTGGTCTGGATCATTTGGATTATTTTTGTCCATTCAGTTGGGAATTCCATCGGGCCCCAACTGACGAGTTCTCCATGATTTTTCAGAGGGGTGTTCGTCAACCACCAAGATAACGAACTGGAAAATCACCATTTTGAATGGCTAAATCAACTATTTCTATGGCCATTTTCAATAGCTTTTTGTATGTTTACCAGAGGGTATGGTATATGGTGTATTCAAGTACCCTCCAAGAATCAAAAGTGGCAATGGACAATCTCCAATTTATAGATGACCTCCATTTCTGAGTGATCTTTCAGCCCCGTTTGATTAACAGAGGGTACGTCTGGATTTAACGGACAAAACCAAGGATTTATATGGAAGAACAATAAATACATATAAATATTTACATAGGGATATACAACCCACACTTTGATTTGGGTTTGCTTGAAAACGGTGGATTTACACCCTCTTCTGGCCACTGTAATTGGAGATATTGATGATAAATCAGTGGACAGTGGATTTTATGTTTGTTTATTGTATTCTCTCAGACAAACCGACATACCCATATTTACCTAGACTTGCTGTGCTTTTTGGATCAGAGCTAGACGCGTTTGAAAATCTGACAAACGTACGTGTTACGTGGACCATAATTATACATATCATTGTACAATTAGAGCACATACTATCTTGTTCAGTCCCTGACCGGAGCTGCACAAGTTGGGATGACAATAGCACCACTGGTTCCATACTGTGCTTTCAAAAGGAGACTCTGACCCATTTCATGGGGACATGAGTTGGCAGAGGAGCCAAGTCTGAAGGCATCGAAATAAAGTTGAATATTGACAGTCGGGCTGTACAAGGGTCCTTTGGATAGCTAAGTTTGTGCAAAAAAAAAAACGGCTTTTTGGCAACTACTTTTTGGCAACTATAAGTATAGGGGGTCCACACTGTCTACACACCAACTTATCTCTGGGCCACCACCTTGCATGTTTCGTAATATCTTACCTTCTGCCTTCTGCAACAAAATCCTTTGGGAGAAGGCATTTCGGCCCCAACATCATACCCCAAGACTGCCTTGGAAGACAACTGTATCCATAAATAAGGGGGAGTTCGTGAGAGTTATTAAGGTGATTTCACTATTGCGACAATTTCCATCTTGCGATGTGCATCAAAGCATGGTTTGGCGACTCAGTTGCGGCAGCAAAGTACGGTCAATGAGTTGACCCATCCCGATGATCCATGGCTTTGGTCAAGTTACATAAATCCCAAGGATCAGTCATTTATAAAGGGAATTACAATACATCTATAATACATCTTTAAAAAAATGTATTCTATACATCCATATATTAAAGATCTCTATGCAATAGATCTATAGTACATCTATGTATACATCTATACAATTCTACTGATCTCATCACGAATCGTATCTCTTTTTGGGCCTCAACGTGAGACGATCGAAACTCGCTTCGGGTCCACCAGGAGCGCTACCAGATCGGAACGTTGGCGAACTGGGCGGTCCAGCTGCATGGGCAAAAGCAAAGGGGTTCACCTTTAGGCATCGTCAGATTTGGATTTGCTGAAGATGAGTTTGTTTATTTTCTCCATGTCAAATCCACTACTTGGGGAATCTACAGGGAATTTGTCTTATTTTTTGGCGGTTCCTGAAGATCAAATCCATGTAGAGGTTTCATGGGGTTTCCTAAAATGGGTGCCCCTTAAATCATCCGTTTAAATTGGATTGTCCTCTATAAACCATCCATTTTGGGGATTCCCCGTTTATGGAAACCACCATATTAAACCATATGGCCATATGGTAAACCCGGGGGATCCCCCATTTTAGGAACCCCCCGAATATACGGCCAATTATAAGTGGACTAATCCTAATTCATGTTTAGCACAGCTAAAATGTTGGCCATGTTTGACAGATTGTGAGTGATTGTGATTGTGATTGTGGTTGTTATGGTTGTTGTGGTTGTGGTTGTGGTTGTGGTTGTGGTTGTGACTGTGGTTGTTGTTGTTGTTGTTTGTTGTTGCTGTTGTTGTTGTTGTTGGTGGTGGTCATGGTGGTTGTGGTTGTGGTTGTGGTTGTTGTTTGTTTGTTTGTTTGTTGGTTGGTTGGTTTGTTTGCTTGTTTGTTTGTTTGTTTCTTTGTTTGTTTGTTTGTTTGCTTGTTTGTTTGATTGGTTGTTTGTTTGTTTGATTGTTTGTTTGTTTGATTGACTGGTTGTTTGTTTGATTGGTTGTTTGTTGGTTGGTTGGTTTGTTGGTTGGTTGGATGGTTGGTTGGTTGCTTGTTGTTTGTTGTTGGTTGTTGTTGGTTGTTGGTTGTTGGTTGTTGGTTGTTTGTTGCTTGTTGCTTGTTGTTTGTTGTTTGTTGTTTGTGTTTGTGTTTGTTGTTGTTGCCGTTGCTGTTGCTGTAGTTGTTGTTGTTTCTCACTAACTAAGATTAAACAACTATAGTTTTGTTTCTCGCAGATTATATGTTTATATCGTGTATGTTTGGTATATGTATTATATATACAACAATCACATGCAGTCCCTTTTATCATCAATGCCATCATGATACCAATAACAAGGTAAACATGTTAAGAATAAGCAACTGATGATCATCAACATCAACATGAGTTTGTCTGAAATTGAAAACAAGGTACCCATTTTTTCACCTGTTGTCTAGATGTTTTCATTCTTCATTTAACCAACTATTTGATGGTAAATCCTTCATATTCAGACACATCAAACAGTCATATTGTTGGTTGTAAAACCAAACATATCATATAAGTTGAATCCCAGTTGTCATGTATTTAACTAACTTCAATTCAATTTCAGAGAAACCCAACTATCACTATCATATTGTAAGTCATAAGTATTCCCATAACCTATCCATTATAATGTCATCCATGTCATAATATATCCAATAATCACAGAATATACCCTCCGGCAACCTAAGACAGCTATGGAACATGGTCCATTCATTGATATTTACCGATTAAACACAATGATTTTTCACTTCGCTACGTTACAGTAGATAAATTTAGAGCGTATGTAACTCATTGTTTCCCATAACCCCATCAGATCCCAGAACACAAATCGGTTGAATCATACAAGGTGGTGCCCCCAAGATAGCTAAGTTGGTTTATAACTCCAATAACTATGGTTTATGGTACCTATATCTATAGTTAATGGGGTTATAACCCATTTATAACTGGAGGGGGCACCACCTTGTATGAAATTCAATCCCTATAAATCCCATGATTGTTGGATAAATGTATCCATTCGTCAACAGCATCGATTCATGTCACGCCTTCAGCACGTCTCAGGACCATGAAGTCACCAACGTCGAGGAGGCTGATACCCAAACGGTACCCTAAATAGCTAATGGATGTTTATTCCCTCAGATATGATATGTAATATGTAATAGGTTTTGACCCATCCCCACATGAGACAACTTCAACACTTCGGAATCCCATGTTTTTGTTTAAACATTTTTGTTGCCACCAAACATTGGAATTTATATGGTGATATGATTGAGGTATCCGGGATTGTTTTTGAACAACGATATTCTGTCGCCACATCTCATGTCAGCTTTGTGATGCCAAGAATCTGTTCACCAGTAGTATTCAATGTTGTTTATCACCAGCCATATTTGATCAGAGTGATGATAACTCCTTGTAACCTTTGCTTTGGATATAGTCATGGGGGTAGAATCAACCGTTCCAGTTTGTCAGAAAGTGGATTACCCCAATAGTGACAATCAGACCACATGTGTTTCCCTTTGGTAAACTAACATAGCTATGGAAAAATCACTATTTTTTATGGGTAAATCCACTATTTCTATGGCCATTTTCAATAGCAAACTGTTAGTTTACCAGAGGGTACCTCGGAAATCATTCCACAAATGCCGTGAATCCAAGGCTAACCACTCGGATTGATGGCATGTCCCCCAATATGGCTATACCATTCAATTTCTGATTGTTGTTGGTTATTTATCCCATTGTATCCTCATTGATCTCCCATTATACATCCCATTATATACCACTATATCCCAGTATAGTATAGTGAGTATATATTTATTCATACCATTATTAATTACTCGACGTATGCCCATTCTGTAGCAATGTATGGTGCTGATGTATCCTCATAAACTATTCTCATTGATATCACATTATACATCCAATTGTATGATCATGGTCCCATTATATCATCTTCATATTCTCACCATATCCCAGTATATCATCTGTAGTTGGTTACCCTTTGATAGACTAACAACTAACATATCTATGGAAAGTCACCACTTTTAATAGGTTCTAAACTGTAAATCAACTATATAGACCTTATTTATGGGTTCATTTTCGATATAAATGGGTTCATTTTCGATGGCTATGTTCGTCTACCTAAGAAGAGTATACATCCCATGAAACATCCACATGAATGGCTACAGAACTATTATTGGCTGAAATCTACATCCCATGAAACATTCTCAACATCGGATCATGATGTTCTCATGGGCTACAGATCTCAGGTCAATGTCCCATCCCCCAAGCTGTTTCGCCCCGCCCAGCTTTGGCGGCGTCGACCCCTTCAACGGCACTTCTGGCGTCGCCTGAAGGAGGGGAGACGGCAACCGGAGACCGGGAAAAACAACCAGGGAACAGCATGGAACTTCTGTGTTTTCACAAAATATCAGGAAAATTATGGTTTATGGTGTACATTGGTATATTGTCATGGTACTGATAATTCCCCCATAACTTGGACACCAATTCATGAATGGATCCAGTACTAAACCACGGCAATCTTCGACAGATTTGGACAAGGTGAGGCCCCCTAGACAAATCAGTTGACTTCGAACTAAGATGAAGTAAGCTCACTATCTAACTACGGTTTATTGGGAATTGAATAAGTAAATATATATATATATAGATAGAGATAGAGATATAGATAGATATAGATAGATATAGAGATATAGAGATATAGATATAGATACGGATAGATAGATATAGATAGATATAGAAATATAGATAGACATAGATAGAGATAGATAGGTATAGATAGATATAGATAGCTATAGGTAGATATAGATGGATATAGATAGATATAGATAGACTTTTTGTTCGATATATATATATATAGATATAGATATAGATATATAGATTTGGATAGATATGGATATAGATAGATATGGATAAATATAGATAGATATGGATGGATGGATGGATGGATGGATGGATGGATGGATCGATCGATAGATAGATAGATAGATACAGTATTCAATAGGGTTTATAAACCATAGATGTTCATGGGTTTACAATCCAACAAACAGAACATGTGGGAACCTCACCCTTGTAGGGAGCCCAGGAGTCCAAGATTTCCTTGACCTCCAACAGCTTCGAAGCCGAGTTTTTGGCCTGTTCCATGCTGAAGCTTGGCACCAAGTTGCTCGGGGGCACCACCTTGTAGGAGTTTAAGCAAACCCAAAATATTGGAATACCATAGAATAAGTTTTAAAACTATGGTAATATCCCCCAACATATCCCAACATAAATATTGGAATATGGATATGATATTGGAATATGATGGAAAATATGGTGGATAAAGTTTAGACCACCTTGGAAAATATTGGAATATGATGGCATATAATGGAATACATATATATATATATATATACATGAAACATACGGCATCGAAAATGAGGATGGAAGCAATGAAGAAGAGATCTGGGGGTCTTGTTCCAGAACTGGGAATACCTTCCATGGCAATTTGAATGCAGAAAGTCATGAACCGCTGGATTTTAGAACCGACATATTCCAATTGACTCACGCTGCAATTGTTGTTGGGACAGGTTAAAATCATCAAGCAGTTCAGCATGTCAAACTGTTCAACCAAAAGCTTACGAAGATAAGTCCATTCAGCAATACTACTGATTTATAACTTAAGTCCTTTCATGAGCTCACCAGGCAAGTCCAAATCTGGTTGGTGGTGTGGACCATTTTTTATTTTTCCATATATTGGGAATAGTAACCCCAACTGACGAAGTCAAATTTTTCAGAGGGGTAGGTCAACCACCAACCAGAAATTCTACCAAAAAATCCTCAGAGTCCTCAGTCATTCAGCTTTTCCAGCTGGTCCTGAATTTTGATAAGTCCCTTGCAATGGTAGTTTTTTTCCCCCCTGTAAGAAGTTGGCTGATAACTTTCAGAAAATAGGTGGACATATCTACCACAAACCAAGCAGTTAACCTAAAGACTTGCACCAAACTGTGGCAAATCAATTTAAATCCCAACAAATTGTTGATGAAACCTTTATGTTTGTGGTGAACTTCCCCATTGCGCCCTCAGTCACTTCAGGGATGGTTAGACTGATCCGATTCTAAGTCCTTTCAGAGTCAGGTTAGGGTCAAACAAGTGTTTTGAACACCAAAATCAACCAAACACATCCAAAGGGCCATGAAGAGGTCACTCCATGTCACCCCCCATCAAACTAACCATGAAAATCACTGGTTTTCAATGGGCTTTAAACCCCAATTCTAGTACCGTTCATGGAATGATAGTCCTAGAAAACCAGTGATGGGGCGTCATCATTTTTATGGAACCACTTAAAATTTCATGTTCTGCAAAAAAAAACAGAGGATATATAATTCCCCAGTCCCCATCAGGATGCTTTTCTTCCTCTGGTGCTACTACTGCTATGTCCGCGGCTGGTGGCGCCTGAACCTCTGCTGCAGCTGGTTCTGGCTCCGGCATTTGGACGCCGGGCTCCACGCCGCGATGCACGGCGACTTTCGGAAGAGCAAAAGGCTCCAGGGAGGCCCGTTTTGAAACGGGGGGAGAGGGGTGGAAAACAGAAGACGGTTTTTTGCCAGATGAAATATAATGGTCAATAATGGATTATGTATATATATAGTAATATATATATATAGTAATATAATATATAATGTATATATAGTAATATATATATATAATATACAATTATATGGTTATTTAGTTGTCAAATGTGGTCAATAATTGTTACAATAATTATGGTTACAATGGTTTGTATTGGTTAACAATGGTGATCATCCAACTATATTTAGATTGTATGTTGATAGATTATACAGGTATCAGGCATCAGGATGTATGAAAACCTAAGAAACTTCCATAGGGGAATACACATCCAGCATCATCCAGCTATCTTAGGGTAGAGTCCCAAGGTTTTAACTCATAGCCATATGAAAGCTGTAGGGGATTGGATGATATTTTAAACTTAAGATAGCAGGTCAGATAGTTAGATATGAATTAAATATAAGATAATGTAAGTGGATTTTTGTTCAGATGTTTTTGTTTGTCTTGTAAAAATGGGAAATCACCAGTTGGAGAATCTATAGGGAGAAATTATTTGCATTTTTTCTTGGGCTCCTTGAACAAATCGGAGAAAAAAAATAGTCAACGTTGTTTCGCATGGAGGATTAACCTTCATGTTTTAAACATCAAACTAAACTGCCTGGTGAATGTTTGGCTATACAATGGGTTGAACACGGGATGGTATTCACCAAAAACAATGAGAATCTACAGTACATAAATCTTTACACATATGACTGACAAACTCAGAAACACGTACCTAGACCCTCCGTTTGTACACATAAACATGTTGCTTTACCAGATAATTTTAGTCCTTAAAAACCTCTATGAATAGAGGTTTCTAGCTGGGAAAAAATATCTATAAATGGTGGATTTTCTAGCCATGTTTGAATTTACCATGCTTTGGATTGTTTTTCGGTATTTGGAGGGTCTAGCCCTATAGGACTCTGGTATAGAGCTCAGCTCGTGGCTACAGATCGCTTTTTTGCAGGTCTGTTCTGGGTTTACAGCCTTTTATCCCACCGCGCGATGGAGTACTACTGGGGCTCCAGTGGCTTGAATGGATGTGGACTCAGCAAACATTGGCCAGGGGACCCAGGGGACCCAGCGCAGATGGGGGTACAGTTATGGCCATGGCTACCAGTTGTAACTGGTTATTTCTATGGGATGAGATACATGACCGATAAATGGGGTGACTTGTTAGTACTTATAACTGATAAATGGCCATAACTGTAGGGGCTCTGAGAAGGGCCCGAATTGCGGTGAGAGTGTTTCTTTCCTACCCTTGTGCGAAGGGTCACCAAGCGACGCTAAATCCAAACTTTGTTTCCTGCCGCATTTTCTGCTTGAAATGTTGAGGTGGCATCATGTTTTTCCCAATGATCCAGGACCAGCTGCTAATCCGATGGCATGATGGTATGGCTCTTCTGGGGTTCTCGCGGTTTATCCGTGTTAACTCTACATAGCCATGATGACTTTTGACCAAAATGATTTCAAGATACCTTTCCAAATTATTCGATGAGTTGGAACATTTTTTCCATTCAGTTGGGAATGTCCCATATATTGGGTTGAAACCACCAGCCATTCATGATTCGATGAGTTGCCATGAAAGTGATCTGATTCTGACGAGGCTCTGAGAAGATGTTTTTGCCGTTTAGCCCATTGTTTTGTCAGATCCCATCGTGCATTGACATTTTGTTTCTGGGATATCGATTCATGATAGAGCCATATGATATCAATGGTAACCATTGGCCAAACGTTTCATGATAGGTTTCATGATACCCAGCGTAAAAATGATACGTCGACACTTATGATACCTGGCATGTCAGGCATATTGTTCCAATGTCAAATGCAGAACCAGAACACAACGATACTTTCAATAGCTATCGCAGAATCGCAGACTGGACTAATATTTGATGGTTGGAAATTGTTGGCTATAGCTCGACCCGACTTTCAATACCCGAACACAAATTAATGTATAAACGTACTTAAAATAGTGGGTAGAATGTTAAACATAACACCACCATGTGTGAAAGGTAAATCATCATACATCATCTATAAATGGGCGATGTTCTATTACCGAATTATGGGGTACCCATCAGCAGGACGCGATCCTGATTGGAGCACCATGACCGGCATTGCCTGGGTGAGGTGCCATGCTTCAGGGCAATGACTGTGGAACCATTCGACAATTTGGGAGTTTACCATCAAGTCAATGTCTATCAGATCCTTTAATGCAATGTAATGTACATTGTATATAGATTGTATATAGATTGTATATAGATTGTATATAGATTGTATATAGATTGTATATAGATTGTATATAGATTGTATATATATAATCCATCCAAATCTCATATCATAGATACCATCCAACATGGCTTCATGGGAATCATCGAACTAGATGGAGGTTTTTTCCTTCGCTGGGAAATCATCGGACTTCATCGGATGCGACCCCAAGAAATCGGAGAATCCATCCTGTGGGATTCTAGAGATTTGCACTAACTATGAACTTGCACAAAAAGAACATCTATGAACCATATCAATCATATCCAACGCCATATCCATCAATATGACATGCCACCCTGCTTACAGGATATGGTCAATTATTATGTCAAGAAAAAACCCATCCCAGACTCCCAGACCGATTTGGCGGATCACCGCTGAAGGTTGTGAACGGGGCGTCAGTCTCCAAATTTTTGAAGCGGCCTAAACCAAATTTAGGAGCCACCAACAAAACAGATTGAATCGCAATCCAGCACTATTAAGTATTACCGTAAGTCATATTAAATCTGTCATGTGTATGTCTTTTTCGTTTTTTTGGTCGGTGTTTGCTATGATTCCTCCCACAAAACGATGCATCGTTTTGTCGAGGCGTCATTGGAGTGCTGAGTGGCACCCATGTCATCGCTGGCAGCTCCTGGACGTGCTGTGCAGATGTGTCACGTTGAACGATGAATCATCCATGAATCAGCCAAACAAAGGTGAAAACTGGTGTTTTTTTCATGGTTTTTCACGGTTGAACCATGAAACAATTGTTGGACTATGCTCATCTACCATTGGGATTTTCTCCCAGGAGCAACCAAAAAAATCTCAGAAGCAACCGAAAACTAGTCATCCACCTGAACTTGATGCAGCATAACAACACTGTGTCCAGGTTGTACCACTTTAATCCCAGAAATCAAAACGATGTGGGTCAACCCTTCACATTTCACTTAAGCCTCCAGGATTCCAGTCGCACCGATCCATGGTTTGGGCGCAACGATCTTGGGACTCTGGGACTAAGGTCTTTGTATTGGCTGCCTGTGGCCATGTTTCTTTGCTCAACTCTGGGTGATTTCAGAACTGTGTTTTTTGGATTTGCGCCGTGGGTCCCACGGGTCACGTTTGGGGTAGGTTCATGTGCTGTACACGTGTGCCTTGGTTCAGCGGCAAAAAAAAAGAGCAGGTTCATTCAGAATTGTGAAGGCCTGGCCTGGTTTGTATCACATCGGATGATTGCTGTGAAAAATCGATCTGAAAGCCAGAGAAAGCAGCTGAACGACAGTAAGGTGTAAGTCCAACATAGTCCAACATGGTGCATGGACTGGTTCACCATCCCCCCAGGGTGCTGTACGTTTCTTTCCAATGATCACAAGTGCTCTGTAATTAGGTGGTTTTTGTACATGAGGGATACCCAAAATTGCCACTTGAATGTGGAAAATGATGATAGACCATGGGAATGTGGGCTAATTCTTGGTTCCAAAATTGAGACAACCCGGTGTGGCACCCTGAAACATGAAGCGTCATAGGCAGCAGCAATCCATCAGATCAAAGAGTATTTGATCCCCTTTGCGTTTCTAGTTGTGTTTGCTGGTTGCTACATTCATTCTTGGCAGAAAATCGGCTTCAACATGCTTTAACCACCAATCAGTACTCCAAGCAGCCATGAAAATTGGGACAAACATCCCAAGTCATCATGAGTATCATATATATATAATATAACTGTATGACCTATTTTTTCCAGGTATAACATGGTATAACATGGTATAACATGGTATAACATGGTATAACATGGTATAACATGGTATAACTGTATATTTTTGATATTTCTATGACCCAAACATGGTGTGTTTTTTCCAGGTACGTAGTGGGTCTGTCCACCCGAGAGGGTCGTTTTTGCAAAACGAGGTTCGTAGAGCCTTTGTTGGAACTCCTGCAGGTGACCTGTAGCATCCTGGAGGCCGAAAATTTGGCTGTGATATTCCATGAACATAGAATAGTGGTATATTATAGTATATTAACTATAGTTTATTATATATAGATATAACTATAGTTTATTAATGGTATATATATATATATTCTATGGAATATAATGGTTTATTATAACTATAGTTATATCTACCATAAACCATACCCTCTGGTAATGACTAACGTAGCTATTGAAAATGGCCATAAAAATAGTGGATTTTTCCATTAAAAATGGTGATTTTCCATAGCTATGTTAAATTACCAGAGGGTATGAGGATTAACCAGGGCTTTTTATGGCGATTTTATGGGATTTTACCAACGAAAAATATAGACACCCAATAAACAACTAGTGTTAAATCTCTGGTGATTTAACATAGCGAACTGGAAGCCATGGCCCATTTACAGATGATTTTCCCATTTAACTAAATAATGTGGTTAAAACAATGTCATAAACACCATCAATGACTGGGAATGGTTTTTTATACCACCCATAAAAATGGTGATGACTGGGGAATTGTTTATTATTGTTTTAACCACATTATATTAAAACCTCATATATGATAAAAGGCCTGGATTTTTTCATTTCTGTTGATTTAATATAGGCATAATGAAAAATGATTTTGCCTGAGGATTAACCAGCTTGTTAACCAGCTTGTTGACCATGTTAAAAACTCGATATTTCACATTAGTTGACCATACTCTATGGTTAGGATAAACTATGCTTAATTTATGGATTTTTATATCCAAGGTTAACTATGGTTAGACATAATATAGGCATAACATGAATTAGTTAACCTTTTGTTAACCTTGGATCCAAAAAAACAACATAAATCTAATGATCGCTCTGAATTTGGTTTGGACTAACCCTTAATGATTTGATTCGGTGAATTCAAATTCAGCCATGATTGGCCGGGATTAGTCAAAAATTCATGAAGATGTTGCTATGAATTGAATCTTGAATTTATGAGTGAAACCGCCCACCCAACCCAAATATCATACTGAATCCCTCTCGTTTCTTATTGGGTGAATATTTGGATTAGTTTCAGTGAACATGGATTAAGATTCTGCATGATGTTTGATTACGGCATTCCAAGAGCTTGCCATGGGGAGGAATTCGCGAAGTGCCCGGGAATGGCCATCCCAGGATTTGAAGAATGGACTATATATGTAAATTATGCTATGTACAATGAATACGTTTGGTTATATGTGATAATTTGGTTTGGTTGATGTTCCTCAAGGTCAGTTGAATTTGAGATTTTGTTTGCACGTATTGTCAACGCGGACCAGAATGGGCGAATTTTGCTTACAGCACGTAAGAAAAAAAATGCTATACATATTGACAATGGTAAAAATGAAGAGACGAGTTTGATGTCATTGAAACCAAAGTAGGAACCATGCACAAATGGATGTAGCTGATGGTCAAGGCAAAGCATCATTCACCAAATCCATCGTTGTCATAACTGTTGTTATCCAATTAGGTTCGATGATTAGACTCATGGATGTGGAACCCTTGACCAGACTGAATAAATTCACTCACAAATAATACAGCCGTTTGTTTTAATGGGGCTGACTAGTATGGTGGCAATTGACACCACATATTTCTGTACTATCTTCAAAATGCCTCAAATAATCTCAAATGCACGTTCTCTGATAGCCTCTGGTGTCATCCAACGTAACTGGCTGGAAAATCTCCAAACTAAACGGAGTTTTATGGCTCCAAGGGATTTGGCAGCGGCCTACCAGGTTTGATGACACCAGAGGGTATATGTATATATATATAAATATATATAATTATATAGATATATAGCATTTTTCGTATTATTTCCCATTATAATCCCGTTATTCCTACTATTGTTGGGTATCTATGGTAGTTCCAGTAATCATCATTCATCACTAATCTACATTAATCATAGTTCACCATCATTATTGACCATTGTTATATTCATTATAATTGATGTCGTTTAAAATAGAATGATGTATCTACATTCACAGCAGGGACACACATTGTATCACCTGCCCCCTTTTTTTGTGTCTCGCTAGGCCGTTGCATCACTGATGGAACCACCCATGAAGACACCCTACTGCGCCCGTGTGGCGCGCTTCTTGGGACTCTCTTGTGAGGTGCGGCGCCGTTTTTTTGGGAGCTTTAAAACACCAAAAAAACAACCCAAAACGCATGTTAAGCCAAAAAGCATATGACTTATAAATGCATAGCGTTTGGGATTGGGGTCCGCTTTTTATGCGTTCGTAGAAACCCGATACACCGATACACCTTGCGCACACCGATACACCAGTATACATGACCACCAAACATATCCAACAAGGAAGTTGATTCTAAGACCAAGCATTGGTTCAAAGTTTCATGATCTTTCATGATTTGTTTGAACCTTGACGGTCCGTTCCGATTTCTAGTTTCGATTGGATCACCTGGGGGGTTGAAGCCTCCCTGTTATTATAATGCTCAAGCGGCCCCAATAGTATTATCATTTTAATTATCATTGTAAAACATGATATTAGTTTAATACATATTATATATGTCTATTTCATATTAATGATCATGATTACTAGCATATTATTAGAATTTTATTGCATACATTCATTGTATTATGGTACTATATATGATAATTATGATTGGTATTATCACGGATACAGATGAAAAAAAAGTCCATGTTACAGCAGCTTTTCAGCCTTTCCTTACTGCACCTGATGGTTTTTTTCATCCATGATGAGTTAGATCATTCAAGTGATACGTGGATGCATCAATTGCATTAGGTATTTCTTTTGAAAGAAAACGCAGTTTTCACGAGCGACTGGAGTCGTTTTTTTTTTTGATCAGGAGATGCCACATCTCTGTGAATCAGAGGGACTAGGCTGGTGATGTGTTTAATTTTTTTGAGGCTGGTATTTTCACAAAAAATCTTTATTCACGTTTTTTGTTCCATCCTTGAACGCTAGGTCGCTAGGTTTCACCCCCTTTTTTGACTATGCATCTTCTGGGATAATTGGGGAGTCATGTCGGCCTTCCGATTGGTTGCTGACTTCGATGTGCACCTGCTGAGTAGGTGGTGCATTTGTGATACCCACACTTATCACTTATCACTCACTTGCTCTCTGGCAACGCAACATAGCCTATGGAACATATGGAACATGGCCCATTGAGTTCTACGATTTACCCACCAAAAACTGGCAATGTTCCATGACGGTTAGTTAGTGTGAAGTATCCAGTTCCCAAGTTTGGTTACACCAAGACTGTCCACTGCAGGTGCTTCTGAACCCTGGTTTTCAGCTCCTTTCCTTCTTTGCCGGGAGTCCTGCAGGGTCAGTTCGCTGAGTTGGCTGGGTCCTTAGGAAACCAAGGGGAGTTGTCTTTCTCTAAAATGTTCAACAGGAAAGAAACGGACAGTTTATTTTTTGTTGGTGCTATCCAAGATTGACTGACCTATGTTAGTATCTTAGTGTAATGTGGTTAAAACAATGCCATAAACTATAAACGATCCCCCCAAATCCCCCAAATCACAATTTTTATAGGTGGGATGGTTACCATTCCCAAATCGGTGGTTTATTATTGTTTCACCGACATTAATGAATGTTCCTGAATTTTGCTCATCTCATATCCATAGGGCTCGACCTTTCTCGACACTTCTTCGCATTAGATTCCCCGACTCCTTGGGGAATCTATGGTGCCTTTCTCGACGGTACCCATGCCATCCAGTGGTCTGCATGAAAGTTGCGATTTTTATGGGATAAATCATGACTGGTTGGTGGTTTGGAACATGGATTTTATGACTTTCCATATATTGGGAATGTCATCATCCCAACTGACTTTCATATTTTTCAGAGGGGTAGGTCAACCACCAAACAGATGATAAATCCAAGAAACTCTTCGACACGCCTATAGTCTGCGATTGCTGGAGATGATTGGCCTGATGTTTCACACAGTCCGCCTTTCCCGTGTTTTTACACGTGGTTTTGATCTTCAAAGGCTGCTTTAGTGGAATTTGGTCATTGAAGCTTCTCAGGCAGCATAGTGGCTGTACCATTGCCACATTGACAATGCCGTGGTTTGGTCCACAATGAGCCACCAGGCATCATGTGAGACACAGTAATGTGGCAGGCATCAGTTTTCAGAAATGGCAAACACGTGAGGGAAACGATGGGACTTGATGCTTGAGTTTCCGAGATTGCGACGTACGGTACTACCGTAGGTCCCAAATTATGATCTCATGGGAGGTCTTTGGTGTTAAAAATTCGATGTGTTCATGATGGGTGTCAAGAACTGGGAATCTTCCAAGAGAATCCAGAGAATCCACTAAGATTCAGATCAGTTCGTTTCGGCGCCGCGGAACTGTGGCCATCCCAGAACGCCATGAATACTAGATATTTTTTACATTTACATCCATCGGAAGATGGCTTAAAAGTGGGGGTACCAAAGGGCCCACAGGCCGTGTTTACTGGTATAGTTATGGGGAATCCCCATCCGAGACTGCGCGAGGCACAGCCCTTCTGGCAAGTCGGATTCTCATGTTTGATGGGAGGAAGGTCCGAATTAACATGGGCCTACTACAGTGAGAGTCAGTACACGAAATGGATAATGGATACGGTATTGATTAAGTGCTCAACTAACACCAACATTATGTTCCGTCATTGGCAATATATTGAGATAATAATAAATGATAATAAATGATGATAATATATCATGAGTTTTAAATATGCACATACATAAACTTATTTTGGATGGTTGACCCCCCATTTTATGTGTTGAATACTTCAAACACAGGGTCGATTTGGCTCTAAGTACTGTAATATATGATGGCTGTAATTGGTTTATGTTTAATCACATTCCCAGGTTAGTGATGTGTTTGTTCAATGAATTAATTGTCCATATTATATCATATGATGATAATATAATATCTACTCCAAGTTGAATAATACATATATATATATACATATATTTATATATAACTATATAATATGATTATGTATATATATATATTTCTATATATACAGCATTCCCCATGAAGATGGAAAAGCAATGTATGTTATTTTAGTGGGATTGTATGTATTATTTTTTTTGTTTTGGGAGGTAACTCTATATTATATATATATACACTTACGGCTCTTAACAGTAATATGTTGCTTATAATCCCATTCAAGTGATATATGATATATCACCCTAATTGCAGGAGTTGTAATCTCATTTATCACCGCTAAGGGCCATAACATGCCACAACTGGTTTCATACATATACATGTACACATATATATATATATGTGTGTGTGTCATATATTCTCTATTTTTTGGAGGCTACTACATATGTATATACATACATACATACATACATACATACATACATACACACACAGACATACATACATACATACATACATACATACATACATACATACATACATACATACACACATACACACATACACACATACACACATACACACATACACACATACACACATACACACATACACACATACATGCATGCATGCATACATACATACATCCATCCATGCATGCATGCATGCATGCATGTATGTATGTACGTATGTATGTATATTATATTATATGACTTTTTCTGAAGCATTGTTCATGTGCAAAGCGTAGCTTGTCACAACCGAGGCCTTTGGAGTCTTGCTGCTGGTTCGGGCCATTAGCCGCCTCCTGCTCTACCCCTTCTCGGAGGCGACGACCGTGGCGAAGAAAACGGGGCGGCGAAGCAAAAGGGTGGGCTTAACATAGGGTAAACCATGAAATTATGCGGTTGAACTTGTGATAAATATATAAGGGAAAGATAGGGACATGGACAATAACCATGAATAACCAACAAATATGGTGTAAAGATAGGGAAAGCATGGGGGGTTCACCAGCAAAATGGTAAAGCATTTTAATGGTTCACGATCAGGAATTGGGTTGTAAGCAATCAACAATGAATATATGCGTTGATCCCAATTTTTTTTGTTGGGAAAATCTGCACGAAAATCTAATATCCTATACAACATATCATTGATTTGAGCAAAAAACAACATGTAACATGGATGAGATTTTCAGTGATCCCAATCAGGCCGAAAACCGGCCCTCCCTTTCTTCGCAGTGACTTCACTTTTGCAATGTTCATGGCATATTCAGACATGGATTTGTCTGAAAATAGATTACCCCCTGAATCCTGTAGTCACTCATTATTTTCCCATTTTGTCCCCATGAAATTTGCCATAACCAGGTGTTTTCTTAGACCCGGTAACATCCAAACGTTGCCTTGTGGATGATCAGGTGCAACATTACATGCCGGAGCACATCCTTGCGGCTGATCAAGAGGCTTCCCGAATGAATGGGTGAGAATGGGGTAACCCAAAAAACATTATATGACAAACATCATATTGATGAGAAACATCAATATTGATCATATTGAGCCTGTGGGCGTATGGTTTAAATTTTGAAGGTTAGATTGCAATACATGAAAACTTATGGAACAATGGGTTTGGTTTGTAGTGTTGTTCGTCATTTCGTTTTCACATTGCTTCATTGACTGCCGTTCAACACATGATATGTATGCGTTTGGGAATTGAAATTTCGTTCGAAGGGTTCATTATATAAAGTAACTAGTTTGTTGTCTTAAAGGCTATCCCTGATTCTCAAAGTATCCATTAGCCATTAGTCTATAATATAAGGATCAAGGATGAAGGTTTCAGAATATGTGTTTTATCTGAATCTAATTATTCAGAATATCTTTGTATGTTTGGGGTCAAGATCTAGTTATGATACGTATATATTTACTGGTTGGTGGTTTGGGAGGGTAGGTATACCACCAACCAGCTATAGCTATAGATCATTATTAATGACCATTATCAATGACCATTATTATACCACCAACCAGGGGTAGGTCAACCACCAACCAGATTTCGATCCACGGCGACCCGACAAGCACCATCCAAGGTGTCACCGTGGATCGGAACTGTTGTAATTGGACTTGGTAGTGTTGTATTTATAAAGTAATTATTGGATATGATTGGTAATTATTATATACAAGTTTATTTATACTTGTTGTAATGATACTGTAGAAATTACTTGTAGTTGTAGTTACTTAAGTAATTACAAAGTAATGATTGCTTGTAAATACGTTTAGATTACCATTTCTAATCATTTATACTTGTTGTATTAGCAATTATATTTGCTATAACATAAGACAACTTTAAAAGTACAACTACAACAATTAGTTGTTGTACTAGCAATTATACTTGTAGTTGTATTATTAGCACGAAGACATGAGTTATCAAGAACCACTTCGAGTTTCCAGCTGTAGATTTCACAGTTTTCCAGCCAGGTTTTCAAAGACATGCCAGAGTGGCTGGTGGGGCAACTGACCACAACAGCCAACTTGGAGACGCTCGGTCAAGGGGGGGGCCGGGCCAAGAGGTCACAACAAGGAAGGGAAAAGGATGGAAAAAGTGGATTTACACAGCAAACATGCGGGAAAATGGGTGAAACATGGGCATTTGACCAACAAACATCGGGGATTTGTGGTTGATTGAGACGGGCGAAGTTGGTTTACTCAAATTTCACTAGGGTTTATGGCAATTATAACTCTAGTTCATTAGGGTCATAAACCAAGAACTAGGAGAGCCAAAAACGAGCGTACGTAGTGACGTAGTGATTCCAAGTTGTCATCCAAGCTGTGGATCATTTTTCGGGGGGAAACCAATGGTTTTGGAGTATCCGATTATCCCAACACTTTTAGCTATGTTAGTTTACCAGAGGGTATCTCCTATGTGGCTTGAAAATGATTGAAAAGACCCAGTAGCTTGGGTAGATTGCCATGACTTTGAGAAGTTGTAAAAGTTGAAACACTCTGTTTTGATCATGTTTTGTCTCAGATGATTTCAAGTCATTGCAGCTTTTTCAGCACAGAAAAAAGGGCCGGCTCTACAGAGGGTTGAACATGGCCACCCACATGCCCGAGTACACATAATGCCTAGACCCTCCTACCCAACCAAAAATTGTAAAAGGACTAGAATTATGGGGTGAAACAACCTGTTTATGGGTACTTGGAGGGTCTAGTTAGATATATATATATAATAAATGTAACCATGCAGCTGTTTTCCATGGCTCTTGAAAGCCATTGGCCAAAAATGTCACCGGGCCGCCGTTTCGATTTCTGCCAAGGTTTCGACATCCTTTGACGTGGCTTGTGGACTTTCTGATGTTCCACGGTGCGACATTCGGATGGCGTGCACTTCACGGGATGGACCTGATGGACCGAAATGCTGGTGGGGCAACATGGTGCAAGGTGGTGCCCCAGTTCGGAATCGCTAAGTTGGTTTATAACTTTAATAACTATGGTTAAATTCATGGGATGTTTATGGTAGATATATCTAGACTTACTATGGTGTATAAACCAACTTATAACTGGGGGGGGCACCACCTTGTAGATGGTCTAGGGGTCTGAAGTTTGGACTTGCAGCATCATGATTTTACCTTTTGTCATTATCATATGGGTTTCCATCCATTGCCGCGCAGATAACATAATCCTGCAGTCATAATCATCCTGCAGTTCCAAGTTCGTTAGACAGGTCACAGTGCAGACGTGAAACCTTGTGAGTGGCTTTCACCGCTGGAAATGAATATATAAATCATAGAATTTATATATTTAATATATATATAATATAATATATATATAATACTGGTACTACGTAGATTATGAAGAAATATTCTGATCTACACATAGAAACTATGGTAATGTGGGTAAAACAATAACAACCCCCCCATTTGGGAATGGTTTATATCACCTATAAAGATGGCGACTCGGGGATGGTAAACGTGGCATTGTTTTACCCTGTGAAAAACCATCCATTTCACCAACATGGGCTGGTCACTGCCAGGGGACAGTCATCAAATCGAACATCATCTGTGGCCCGTCAAGTCCTTGGAGCCGTGCTGGTATCATATTGTGTGTTTTTCACACCCCAAAAAGATTGAAGTTGGTAAATTCCTACCACGAAATAATAGCTGATTGGTGGTTTGGAACATGAATTTTATTTTCCTAACTGACTTTTTTCAGAGGGGTTGAAACCACCAACCAGATAGGGATAACATGTTTCATGTTTTAGTGATTGCTATATCTAATTATTTAGACATAAACTGTTTGTTGACATAGTTTGAAGAGTTTAACGCAATATTGTATTCCCGGGGTCAAGCAGAATAATTAACATGATTTGAACGCACCAATATAGCATCAAATTGTGCTCAGTATATCTCATTATGCTAGGTTTATCTTACCAATCTATTACCTTGTGTCAACTACTGGCCATGACAGTTTGAAGTGGTTACTAGATTGTATCTTTACTAAGCTTGCTTAACAATGACTGTAGATAAATAAGAGGCACTGTTAGCTCATGTGTTTTTAAAGTGGCACTGTATGAATGAGAATCCAATAGGATATCTTACATACTTAGCATCTACACTTTGAATAACATGTTTCTCCTGATATTTATTACCCTTCTAGTGAACTTGGTTTAGTCTTGGATCTCTACATTTTGGAGGACCATGTGGTATTTGAGTACCGAGGACACGATCATTATCTTCAATGATTCTTATATTAGCATTTAGCATTCATTTATCCTTGGTGTTATCTTCATGATGGCAACGATCACCCCAATCTTACTAGTTGAGCCATTAGAATCTCAGTAAAGTCGATTAATGTCCATTAAAGTCCCATTAAGATTCCATTAAGATCCCATTAAAGTTCACTAAAATTCCCAGATCCCTATGTTTTGTTTCACCCAAAAAGTCGTGCCACGAAGCCGAAACGTGGCACCATCGAGGCCATGAGCTTCGTGCAGTACCGCAACGCCGCGGAGGTGGTGCGCGCCACGTGCCGAACACTGCAGCTGTACCTCGGCGGTGGGAGGCCTTCGGGAGAATGATGGGAGAATATGGCATGTGTTTAGATATTAATCATTAATCCATATATATATATATATCCATATATCTCCATTAATCATTAATCCATACAATAATCAGTGATCCATATAACCATTAACCATATATAACATATAAACCATGTTATATATATGGATAATGGTTATATGGTAATCAAACATGGCAACAATCCCCTATACATGGAGGTTTCAATGGAATCATATATCTGGGTAAATTATCATATTTCACTAACCTGAATCGTGCGGCCATTTTGGATGATTCTCCTTACTAACTATGATTATAGTGATTAATGATTAATGGTCAATAAATGGTCAAAAATGGCATTTAATGGAGTTTTAATGATTATTAGACCATTATACTGTGGATGGATGGAATGTATGGGGGTTTCCAGAAATCGTGGATACCCCAAACGGCTGGATAGTGTAAAGAAAAACATTGAAACTCCTAAAATCAAATGGATGATAACTGGGGGGTAGCCCTATTTTAGGAAACCTCCATATGGAATTTGTGAATGACCTAATGACTGGGCCATTACTGGTAAATTCTCTTTCTATATGTGAATGGTAGCTAATTTACCATGAGAATGAGCATGACTGGGGATGGCGATATCATAATATATATAAAATGTATAGGTAGCTACTAGATTTAGGGAATTGGGAGATGTTTGATGGCAATGGGAGAGAATGGGATAGATTTTTCCCCTAACTAACCCACTGACAAAGGACCAGTAGAGATTGCACGGCAGGGAGATGGCTCAGAAACGCCAGTTTCCTTGTAGATGGTGTTGAATGGTTCCCGCCTATGTTGCAAACGGGATATGTCGGCTTCCCGGGGAAGGGTTTCGGGTTGCGGCGCTCCGCAACTTCTTAAGTATTTGTTTGTATTTTTTACTAGCTTTTCTTGATAGGCTACAATGACCTCGAAACGACCGTAGCGTAACTTCAAATGGTTTTTTGGCAGCTGCTGGAATCAAATGATTTATTTACGTTGAGGGGATTTGAGGGGTAGGTTCACGATAATGATCAAAACTTGAAGGTACGAATGTATACGAATGTCATATCCGGATTCATGTCAACCTCGGAGTTTTATTTGCTCATAGGGATCAAAAACCAGGGTACCCCCCCAAACAGTGAATTCATTTGCTGATAGAATGGTGCTCCCCCTATGATCAGGGGCGAGAATCCGGAGTTGACAGAAGTTAACTTGCTGCTTTATTAGCTACCCATTCTGTTAAGTAGATGAATATCTGTGTCATAGCCCCCTGTTTAACTACCCTCTGGCAAACGTTTACAAAAAACATCAAAAAACTATGGTCCAAATCAGCATGCTATTAATGGGCCATTTTCAACTATTTCTATGGCCATTTTCAATAGCTATGTTAGTTTACCAGAGGGTGTATATATATATATATATAGTTGACCTAATCCCATCCCCCGTTCAAATCAACTATCCCCCTAAAAAAACGCCATGCTGCTGCCCTGAGGCCATACTACAGCATTAGCCCTGTCCTCGGTGAATCATTCATGTTATGGTTTCTATGCATATAATACGTATATATACGTATATAATATTGTGTGTAATGAAATATGTGAAATGTGAAATGTGTATATATATAATGTATATATACGCACCTACAATCATATGCATGTAATATGTTTGTATATGTTCGGAACTATATGATAGTTCTAGATATATATATATATACTGTATATGGCCGTTCACCCCTTTTTAATCATGCTTTTTTGTTTTGGTGTGTATTGGTTCTGAGATAGCGCAACACCTTAAGATCACTGGTCAGATCTGCGAACACTGGGATTCATTTGGATGATTTAACAGCCACGGCAGTTTTTTTTTGGTGGAGAAGTAGCTTAATGTCCTGTAAAGCATTGGATATATTTTGGTACCTATTATTATAATATGGGTACAGGGTACTATTATTATTGGTTAACCTGTAATGATTGGTACAAATGGGGACAATAATGTGGAATGTATTATTATATAATCAGCTCAAAGAATAGCGAATGGTATCAAAGGTTGACCATTTTGGTACCAAATCATCCAGTCGTCGATGACCATGACTTAGGATTGAAACCCATGGTGACGACTGCGGATCCCTCATTTTTCCAGAAACTTCCACATGGCCAGTTATGCCAAGTTTCGGATTCCAAGATGCCTTGTCTCTGGTCATGGGAAAAGCCTTGGTGAACAGCCGGAGGCTATGTGGACGGATATCGCAAGATCTGCCAGCAGGTGTGGGAGATGGTCAAATATTTGGATGGGTGTCATGGGATGATCAATCAGTTATAGTTATGGCCTTTTATCCTCTGGTAAACTAACAGTTTGCTATGGAAAGATCCACCATTTTTAATGGGAAAATCCACTATTTCTATGGTCATTTTCAATAGCTATTTTGACATAACCAGAGGGTATCAGTTATAAGTACTGACAAGTCACCCCATTTATAGGTCATGTATATATCTCATCCCATAGAAATCACCAGTTTTTTTTATCTGGTAGCCATGGCCATGTCACTGGTGTGGAAATCAATATGGAAATCATGAGACTATAAATCATGGTATATATAATGGGTACAGTTAGCCTCTGGCAAAGTGACATATGGATGAACATGGACCATTTATAGATGATCTATGATGATCTTATAAATTGTGTTGTTGTTTTCCTAGTGATGTTAGTTTACATGTTAGGGGATTTGTTCGAAACAGTTTGCTATTGAAGACTTTTTTTGGCAAATCATCAAACTATAGCTTTGCCATGGCTGGTGAAGAAACCTGGAAGTTAGCTTTCTCTCAGAATGAGGCACCCCAAAATCATGTAGTTTAGATATCATTTTCCGGCTGAAGAGTGGTGATTTTTTGGGGTATGGCCCGTTTTCAGAAACACTGCAGGAAGTGAACTTGGTCATTTTTGTATCACTCCGTCAAATCTGATTCTCTCTCTCTCTCTCTCTCCAGACCTAAATTGTAAGGTAGTGGTAAATCGCACCTTTTCTATTTTTTTTGGGTTACAACATTTGGAGATTGTAATTACTGTACATCAGAAATTATTTTGTTCCCTGAGGGTATCCATGAACTTTCACTGCATGGAGACGTGCAGCCGGTTCCAGTCAGAAGGCACATCCGTTGAGCAAGTTGCCTGGCGTATAAGATCTGCAGCTGGTTCGACATCTGAAACTGAAACTCATGCAGCTAGCATTGGTAGAGGGACCTGACATGTTCTTCGGATGCTAAAGCCAACTCAAAGTCAGCTAGCCATTCTGTTCTTTTCCGCCTTGGATCCATGCGATGGTTTCTGCCGGCTTTGCACATACTATTCTTCTTCAAAAGAATGGTCGAGCTGTGGCATGTGGATTGAATGTCGACGGGCAATGCAATATTCCACCCTTAGATGAAGGAGTGACGTACACCCAGGTTTCTGCAGGCCTTTGTCATACAGTGCTCCTCCGAAGTGATGGTAGCGCAGTTGCTTTCGGAAAAAATGGTGATGGGCAGTGCAACATTCCACCTTTGGATGAAGGAATATTTTATACCCAGGTTTCTGCTGGCCACCGTCACACTGTGCTTCTCCAAAGTGATGGGCATGCCGTTGCTTGTGGGTTGGATTTTCATGGGCAATGCAGCATTCCATCGTTGGATGAGGGAATGGCGTACACCCAGGTTTCCGCCGGTGGAAGTCATACCGCACTTCTCCGAAGTGATGGTAGCGCTATTGCTTTCGGAAGAAATGATGATCATCAGTGCAAGATTCCACCTTTGGATGAAGGGATGTCTTACACGCAGGTTTCTGCAGGTGACAAGCACACAGTGCTCCTCCGAAGTGATGGGGTTGCCGTGTCTTGCAGCTATGATGGTGGAGACATTCCACCTTTGGAGCCTTTGGATGAGGAGATGTCGTACACCCAGGTTTCTGCCGGTGTCGGCTACACACTTCTTCTCCGAAGTGACGGCCATGCCGTGGCTTGCGGAAATATTGCCGATGGGCAAGGCAACATTCCACCCTTGGCTGAAGGAGTGTCTTACACCCAGGTCTCTGCAAACGGAAAACACATCTTACTCCTTCGAAGCGATGGCAATGTCGTAGGTTGTGGAAAGAATACATTCGGACAATGCAACATACCGCCCCCAGATCCCGAAAATGGCTACATTGGCGACAGGTTTGTCAATAGAGATCTGATTCTGCAACTCGATTTCCTTCACAAAGATGATGGCATCCTGCTTAGATGCTCCAACTTAGGGGGGCAAGAAGAAGTGTGTTTCGCTCTACTCGGCTCAGAGGTGGCCTTAAATCTTCACAAACGGATTGCGCGGCAGTTGAGGGTCAGCCTTGCAAGCCTGCGGCTGGTCATGCCCAACGGAGAGCTGCTGTCCTCAATCTGCAGTGCGAATCCCTTGGTGACCGTTGCGGAGGTCAGTGAACTTGGTGTATCGCCTGTCACATGAGTAGCTAAGTTGGCTTGGAACTAATGATACATATACAGTATCATGATTGAATTTTTGGCATGATATATATATATATATATAATTAATATAACACCCTAATTAATCACCCTATATAGACTATAGCTAGGTTTTATGGTAGATGCATGGTGATGTTAATATCTATATATATATAATATATATTTATCATAATATATATGTATATATAATAGACACTAGGACTTGCAAGCCAACAAACACAAAAGGGGCACTTCCGCATGTTGCCTTGAGGCACGAACCCAGCGCCCTTTGAATTTCCCATACGAACCCAGCGATTTTCACCGTTTGAGCAAAAAGGGACGTTCATTCCTCACCTCAAAGGTTCTTGAGACCCCCATGTTGGGAAACAAAAAACATGCTATTCAGTATGACCAGCCGTATGAGTGGGGAAAAACCGGACACCTTTTTTGGATTGCCATAGCAGTTTGATGACCTTGCAACCACAAGGAGAAAGTTGCTGTTGGAATCCTAGTGTTGTTTTACTTGCAACTCGTGCTGAGTATGCTTTCCATTTTTCTGGAGGCACCATCCTATGGTTGAAACCCACTGTGGGCTGAGAAAGTTCCATGTTTTTTGGTTCAAGTCACCACGATTGTGTGGTTACATTTGTGTTTTTGTGTGTTAAAATAAAAAAATCAGGAAGTTCTCATGTTTCTGAGTTGCCATCATGGTTCGTGCGCATTGAAATTCCATGTTGTGATGCTTCAAATTTCAATTGGCCTTCACTCACCGTGTTTGTGTCTTTAATTAAATTACCATATTTGAAACCATTAAACAATTAAACACAACCGGTGTTGTTTGCCTAGTGGAGTTAGACTACCCAGTATGTTGAAGATTCCCATAATCCATAGGGATACCTGTTGATCAACCAGTAATCCCTTCCACCGTTGATCTTAAAGAACCTCCAGAAACCATGGTTTAGTCCGGTTTAGTCTGGTAGTGAATATTTCAGCGTATCTTTGGGACTATGCGAGATGGGGGTGTTTCAGGATTCCTTGATTCCTTTTTGAGGCATGTGATTATGCAGCAATATTCCCATTATAGTCTCATGATATCCCCATGATATCAAAAAATACCGCCGTGTTATATTCTCCATGATTCTCCATGGTATCCCCAAACGAAGTTGTCATTAGATACCCTCTGGTAAACTAACATAGCTATTGAAAATGGCCATTTATAGTGGATTTACCCATAAAAAATGGTGATATTCCATGGTTATGTTAGTTTACTAGAGGGTACTCACAGAATTTTCATTATTGTTCAATCCCCATGATATTCGCAAAAAATGAACGGAATGTCATTCTGATGGGATACCCATCGGGTAACCATGGCCCATTAGTTGGATGATTTACCCATATATATATATATACTATAGAAAAGGTGATGCTCATTGATTTTCCATAGCAATGTGAGATTACCGGAGGGTAAACCCATAAAATTATCCCATGATATTCGCATTATTTCTGATGATGGTCCCATTATAATCCCATTGAATCCCATCAAATCCCATTATAATCCCATTGAATCCCATTATAATCCTTAAAATCCTTCTAAATCTCATGCCCATTGTTGTTGGATATCTATAGCTTGGTTGGTTCAGTCCATCCCAGTCCCAGGTGCGAGAGCATCAAGAGCCAAGTCCAAGGCCGGTGCTCTCTGCGCTGGGAGCCCCTGGATTTGCTCCAAAACTCTGCGGTTCAACAGAAATGGTGGATTTTACCTGGCAAAAAATGGGATGTAACCATGATATCTACTAATATATGCCATGTTGCTGGATTTATGGTCCATATGGTCCATATCATATCCCATTAAATTCATACTATGTATACCCTCTGGTTATTTAACATAGCCATGGAAGCCATGGCCCATTTATAGATGATTTCCCAGCTAGAAACCTCCATCTATGAGGGATTTTCCATGGCTATGTTAAATAACCAGATGGTCCCTGGCAAAAAATGGTGATTTCGCCAACGAACATGAGGATTTCGCCAACAGAAATGGTGGATTTTACATTGCACAAATAGGGATTTGGCGAAGAGAAATGGTGATTTAACCAACAACAATTGGGATTATGATTTAACATGATTTCACCAACAGAAATGGTGTTTGTTTTATGGGATATGAATTTATGAATGGGGATATAATGGGGATATATAAATGAAGAGATGGTTGGCTGAATCCCCTGCACTTGGCGGATCGATTGCTGCTTCATATTACCCTCTAAACCATACAAAAAGCTATTTAACATGGCCATAGAAATAGTGGATTTACCCATTGAAAATTGTGATTTTCCATAATTATGTTAGTTTACCAGAGGGTAGGAGCCTATTTGATGATACCCTCCACCGGTTAAGAACATGTTTGGTCAGCATCCGATGATTGGACGTTTTTTTTGGAGAGCTGTTGGTTGACAACATCCCATCTGCCCCATTTGTCTCTGGGTATTTGTGCTTAGACTGGCTAGAAGTTTGTGGGTTGAGGCCACAAAACTGTGGTTTGTCCTGTATCATGCAATAACGGTAATACTTATGTATATGTAATATGATGTTCAGTTCAGTTAAGGTTATATACATATAGATTGAGAGATAACATAAATGTATACATCCTGTATGTATATATACACAACACTGACCCCTATTTTGGAGGATGAACCCCTTTTTTTGCCAACGTGTGTGTGGCTACCTCTTTTACCGAATATTTCATGCCTCTTTGAATATTGACACTTTGTATGCCCATCAATGTGGGTAACATATAAGAAATATTGGGTAAGCTACAACTTTGTATGTGTGTGTTTATGTGAACATGGCATGAACTGTAATTATACAGATAGTAAAAGTAAACAAATATAAATAAAAATGTTTCTAAATCATATAGTATGTTGTATAATTATGTTTTTTTAGTTCCATTAATTTCCAATATTATTATCATTATTAATTGTGTTTTGTTTCCATTATTATTGTCCTTGCTATTATTGTTTTTATTTTGTATATAGCAAGTGCATTCCCAGCCGCGTGAGGAAGCGGACGCGGACACCGCAGGAAGCTTCTGACATGGAGGTGGGTAGAAGTTATACCCTCCGGTATTGTCAAACATGGCTAAACATGGCTATATAGCTGGGAAATCAGCTATAAATGTACGTAGGTTTAACGGGGAAATCAGCTTGAAATGAGCTATAAAGGGAGTGTAACGAACAAAACTATGGAACATTTACCAACTTTAATCCACAACACTGTGGATATAATGGAGTTTAACCATCAAAACTATATAAATCATTCACCAACCATACCGTGGGTACAGTGGGTTATTGTAGAAAATTCACATAGCTCTAGAAATTTGTCAGGAATTTCCAATTCGCTTAATGAGGATCAATGTTCGTAAATTTCCATAGTTGCGTCGAATTCAGCCAACTAGACAATGGGATCTGTACCAACCATAATGTGGATGCAATGGATAAGATATCTTTTGTATGTACACCCGACAAATTAAACAAATTACATCTACGATATCACCATACTTGGGCTAGTCCTGAAATGCACTATACCCGCAAAAATTGCGATTTTAGTTGGGACAATGATTATAAACCCGTGGAAGTAGAGGTTTCTCAACATTATTCAGCCAAAGCCACGACATTGATTCATGTTGCTCAATGTTGGTTTTAAGTCGGATGATGTTAATGATGTTGGTGAATGTGAATGTTGGTGTAGTTTAATGTTGCCTGAAATGCACTGAACTAGGTTAAAAACTTCTTGGTTCTTCACCTTTTCAATCACCAATTTGAGGTCACGTAAGCCTAGAAAAAGGTCACTTAACCACCTCAAAAGGGAAGAACCTAGTTCTTCGAAAAGAGATTGAAGAAAATTTGGCTAAATTACGTTGAACATCGTTAAACCAACATGAAGGCCATGTTGTTCATGTCAATGTTGGTTAAAACTTAAAACCATTCATCAAAATGATCAAACGTCACGGATTTTCACCAGTCGCCCTTTGAGCCTTGGTATGTAATTCACAAAAGTCTTGTTGTCTGCGAATCCAAGAAGTGGATATCCTATGTATATTTAGTCGATATCCTGATTTTTTGTAGATCTCCATTTCAAGTTTCATCACTTATCGAAGTCTCCCTGTCCAGGTAAATTACCAAGTTTCACTGTCGATTCTTGGTGGATGGAAGCGGATGAAAAACGTTTCCAGCTTCAGTTTTTGTTTGCCGAAGACACAACAGCAACTTATAAGTTTGGAACACCAGATTAGCTAGATCCTGCAAATACCCGCAAAAAAAACGGTAAAAGTACAAAGATTCTGGGGGTAAGACACCATTCTTATGGGTACGAAGGCTACAAACGGTAGCACCAAGAGACCTCGGTGGCAGGGCAGTGAAGACTCTGAGCTGAAGCGAAGGTGCAGCTGAAGCAGCCTTTTTTTGGGGACAAAACATCGATGGAACTGGTGGTTCTGTGGTCAACCCCTCCTGTAGAGGAAATAAATGGAAATAGATGGAATTTTATCACGTATTCCTTCCTTGATATCCCTTGATCTATGGTCGAGACTTCATTCCTGGCAACTCCCAATCATCATGACATCATGTTTTTCTGAGCTCCGTCGGAAATCACACGACCTCTAAATCAGTTGGTAACTCCTGAAGGATTGATCAAATCCCATCACCCGAGGCGGTTGGGTCAGGGACGACCCAGGAATTGGACCGCCATGGACAGGACCCGGCGTAAGAAGGACAACGACAACTCGTCCTCCAGTTGAGCGCAGGGATGATCCTGCTTGGATGGATATCATGGGCAAACGCTTTCTGATGAAATTTTGAAAGAGAATCATTGGGCAAAAATGAAATGATAAAACCACCTTCTGAACAAGGGCACAAGAAGTCCCGATGCCCAACTGACACAGGTCGCCAGTGCAGCTGGGGAAAATCCAAGCGTGCAGCAGCAGAGTGGGGTTTGGGGAGACCCAACAGGTCAGTCTATTGCATGTAAGTCTAAATGATTATCATATTTTGGAATTTACGGATTTTACGTCTCTATAGTTACACAATGTCCTTTTTTTACGATCCTGCAAAACAACGGTGGAAATTGATTCTGCCAAGTCCTGTTTGGCCTGCAGTGGACTTGGGATAAGCATATGGAATAATCCAATTTTTCCTCCATAATATAGGTGATGTATCATCACCACCACCTTTGTCTAAATGTAAGATTATAAGCTGAACCCCCCCATATCATGATATATCATGATATATATATATAATGATATCCCTATTTCACATGTAAATATGTGTATGGAATTATATACACCTAGACCCTCATGAACCATCAAGAATTGGTGTTAATCATTGTTAACCTCATGTGTAAGAGTTTTTTTCGCCAACTTCTGTAGCATTTTGTTGGTCAAAGTCAAGGTATCTATAAGTTGTGAAAATCACTTTCGGTTCCTCGATCCACGCAGATCTCAAAGTCTTCAGAGCCAAGTGTTGGATCTCACTCTTCGAGACTTACTTGTGCTGTCCTCAGAGACGTTTCAAAAAAACGACGGCCTAGCGGTCCGGCATTTTCTTATGAGGATCCAAGCACCAAAATAGCTGATGGATCCCTCCATATGTGATGGATCACAGGGTTTTGATCCATCCCCCTCTGCAAAACAGGGGCATATATGGCATATCAGCCTTGGATATGGT